CACCATGGAAGATGTCACATGTAACAACCTTACCCACAATACTACAGACAACAGCACCATGGAAGATGTCACATGTAACAACCTTACCTACAACACTACAGACAACAGCACCATGGAAAATGTCACATGTAACAACCTTACCCACAATATACTACAGACAACAACACCATGGAAGATGTCACATGTAACAGCCTTACCCATAATACTACAAACAACAACAACATGGAAGATGTCACATGTAACAATGGAAGATGTCACATGAAGTTATATTTTTAAAGTAAAGAACATTTACAGCATTTACAACATTTTCTTCCTCGGCTACGATATTTTCCATATCCCCTAAATTTGATTTCATGAACACTGTCACTACTGTTCATTGGAAGACGCGGTTCTTGCAATTCGTTTGCTTCGCCATCTTTGTTATCGTTGGCCGGTTCAAGCGCTTTCTCTTTTACAGGATCCGATTTTGGCATCGTCACTACACCTGGATGCTCTTTGGGATTCCATAGCTTCATAAAACCAACAGTACCTGATTTGGTAACTGCGATCATTGAATAGTGATTCTCATTCTCGAGTGCACAATCAAAGTGTTTAACCTGAGATTGGAAGTCAAATGAATTTAACATCGCTCCTGTTTTGATGTCCCAAATTTTGACTGTCCCATCCCGAGAACTGGAAACCAAAATGTCGTGAGCTCGCAAAATTCTAAGCCGCATGACAGCATGGGTATGACCTTCAAAATACATCACGCATTCAGCAGATTTGATATCCCACATACGTAGCTGTTTTTTGCTTTCGTGTGAGCCCGCAATGGCAAAGCGGTTGTCTGTTGTCATAACTACATCCACAATAGAGTCGTTGTAATCAACAATTGTGTGGATGCTTTCGGGGTTTTCCGTGGACCATATTTTTAAGGTAAAGTCATTTGATCCTGACACAAAGTGTTTGTTCTCAGACGTGATGGCAAGGCAGGTAATGTCTTTCTTATGCCCTTGGAAGGTTAGTTGGCATTCTCCACTTGAAACGTCCCATAGCTTGATGGTCGTGTCCTTAGAACCTAAAATGAGAAAAGACGGGAAAATTGTAGAAGATCTATTCGTGGATACTTCGTTGTGCAGTTATTTAACGAGGGTGCGGTAATGGAATACTGGTATCAAATTATATCGTGCAACTTGTTGGGCAATAATACTGGGCTGCAAATTGTAGAGAAAATATTGGTATTATCAGCATTACGTGTTCGACAAGTTTGTTTTCATAATTCTCTTTATCTTCATTAATATAATTTTTTTTTAAAGTTTACCGGTTAAAATATGTCGCCCGTCACTGAAAACTGCCACACTTGTCACGGCATTAGTATGACTACGAAGAGTTATTCCTTCTGCATGTCCCTCGATAGATCTAACCCGTACTGTGCCATCAGCCCCGGTAGATATGACCTCTGAATCATCCTCCGTCATCAGAACTCTAGTCACATTCCCTTTATGACCACTGAGGACATTTTCCTTTTCTCCAGTCACGCAATCCCAAACTGACACGGTACCGTCATGCGATCCTGTCACTGCAAGCGCAGACGTGTGCGCCTTGGTCACGCAAGATACCGAGGCGGGATATGAAAAAACACTTTTCTGACTCTTCATGTCCCAAACCTTAAACGCGTCATCTTTGGCACCTGATAGACCCCAACATCCATCTGTTGTCATGGCAACACATTCTGGCTGTGCATCGTGGTGAATCACGTGATCGCCAGCAATCGCGAGCTTCTGCGCATGCTCATTTTCAGCCGCACTCCAAAGTTTTACATTCTTATCGTTAGACCCGGAGATAATGGTTTTGCCATCCGTTGTCAAAGCAACGCATGATATCCACGAGGAGTGACCAATCAAGGTCTGTAAACATTGTCCTTCATCTGAGCGCCAGACCTTCAACATGTCATCTTTTGCTGCGGACACGATCATCTTGTCGTCCTTGGATACTGTTAAGGCCCATATAAGGGCTGAGTGACCTTTTAAAGTCAACAAACACTTCAAGCTTGTTAAGTGCCAGACTTTGATGTGTGTGTCTTTGGAACCGGACACAACACGTGTACCGTCATTCATTGCAGCCAGACATTTTACAAGGCCTACGAAACACAAAAATTATATTAACAAAACGTGAAAAAGACAGAATTCAACGATATGGAAATTAACCCCGTCATTATGATAATATAGTTAACGTATGTACACTAGGTTTCATGTTAAATGGCATAACAATACAATCGTTTTACATGAGAAAGAATTCAAATCCCGAGAGCAAAGGGATTTTATCTGCAATCTAACCACAGGCAGCCCAAGGCGTGGACATGTGTAGTGCAAAATATCTATAGACCTAATTTTTCTAGGTGCAATGTTTTCCCATTTCAGATCACGTGTCATTCCCTGAGAATAAGATTCTTTGCTTGAGTTTTATTCACATATTCATATTCATGTGTCTTCTCATGCGCAACCGACAAACAAAGAAATGATAATCTTGGTAATGACACCTGGTCTAAAATGGTAAAACATTGCACCAGAAGGAATCAAGTCTATTGTGTTGTGTCCTGTTCTCTGATGAAAGTGAGTTGTGAATGGGGATGAGTGAAAGGTCGAGTTATTGATATAAATAAAATTTATTACCTTCATGCCCTTTTAAGGTAATGCAGTCACGTGACACTAGGTCCCATACTTTTACTGTCTTGTCTTCTGACCCCGACACAACAGTTTTACCATTTCTAGTCATAACCAGGCAAAGTACTGGTTTATTGTGGCCCTGGAAATGCGTGATGGACTTCCCACTTGATATGTCCCAGACTCTTAGCGAAGCGTCTTTCGATGCAGATATCACGTGACCTTGTGGATTGAATGCGATGCTAATGACAGGACCTAAGATGAAAAATAACTAACATTAAGAAAACATATGAAGCAAAGAAGTACAGCAATAAAAGTGTTAGGAACCTCAGAAGCGTAAATACGAAAGAGCCAAGTTTGAAGTCACGTCTTAAATAGACCTTTGTTGTGGGTAATGTTGAATTTAGGCCACATTTCATTTCCTAGAGTATCATTTCTTTGTTTAACAGTTGCGCATGAGAAGACAAATTAATTTGGATAAAACTTAAATAAATAATCTTATTCTCAAGGGAATGACACATGTTTTGAAAATGAGCATTGCCAATATGAGTTAGTGTGCTAACCGAGGGTTTTTCGCCGAGGGGGCACACGTTCCATCACTTTGTGGTTAACCTGTCTTTACCCTCTTTTATAATAACCACGACACGATGGTTGCAAAGTCGAGGTTGGACTTGATGTATTCAAACATTCAATTTATTTTATCAAGTCCAACCTCAACTTTGAACCATTATTTTGTGGTCACTCATCCGAATTCGGGAAAAGGTCTATTGAGCTTCTTCTATCTCGAAAAGACCCCTTGCACTAATGACAGACATATTGCCTTGAAACAATTGTTTTAAGTCGAAGCATTTGGGTCAATACAATAAATGTATAGAAACTGACCCAAATTCAGCAATTGTCTCAAGGCAGTAGAGTGTATTCCCTATCTGGGGGTCAAAATAATTAAAAGAGTTTCCTTCTCTTGAGATTTGAAACAAATTCTCATGTACATTATTTTCGTCGTTTTGTCCCCAGATGGACGTCACACGTAAGGGGTCCATAGTTGCAAAATCGTGACGTGACTATGTAATGATCATTATGTGTAAAACCAATGCTATAGTTTTCTCGAATCGCGTGAAAGTCAAACTTTTCAAGGAATAGGCTTTAGATTTAAAACGTGATGGTATGGCTTGATTAAATAGTCTCATAGTCATCTCGTGTGTAAGGCTATTTTGGATGTGTGCAATGCGAATGAGAAGGTGAGGTCTTATTTTGCAATCTCGTTCCCAGATCCTGCGGGCCAAGAAAAAAGCGGGATATGGGAACAAGATTTCACATTGTACGAGCCAACACAACCGACAGACATACCTTCGTGACCCTGTAATTCTTTTTCCAGCGTACCAATCTGAATATTCCACACCCTGATCGTATTATCCTCGCATCCTGCAGCCACGTGACGACCGTCTGGGCCTACAGCAAGACACGTGACGTTTGCACCGCATTCAAATTTCTGAAAGTTTTCTCCAGTATCTAGATCCCAGATCCCCACGCCAAGACCAGCCGCGGCGAGCACTAGACGATCGTCTGGTGAGAGGACGAGATAGGATTCACCTTCTCCCGATATTTTAAGAGTGTGTAAGCAGTCGTGGTTATTGGTGTTCCAGATATTGATTAAAGAATCTTCGCCTGATGTGATAAGGAAATTGTTGTCACGCGTGACAGCTACTGCGTTAACTCTTTTTGTGTGACCACGAAGATTCGTGATAAGAGGTGCAACTGAAAGAAAGAAAATAGAGGGAGTTGGGATACGGTGAAAAAATGAACTAATGAAAAACAAAAGAAGGACTGTGTATTATTATCCAACTATTCAAGTTAGAGTACGAATAACGCAGGAGAAAGCCTGGAGCGAGTACAAATATCTTGTGATGGAGAAAGAGCTAATGATTCTATCATGTAGTTTGTCAGTTAAGCTAAAAGGACGATTTAATTTATTATTTAAATAATCTTATAGGTTGTATAGATTAAGGATTAATTTTTAAAAGTCGTTTAGTCGCCCTTTAAGGATCAAATAGAAAGGTTAATTTAGGTCTTACTCAGTATAGACCATTTGTTCCTCTTTCCTGGCTTTAGTTACAAGGATCCATTTAGTTTAGCTTGGAGAATTATTAGGTTAAGTTTTGTTTAAATCATTTATTCATGCCGTTTAGTTGATAGGATCTATTGTAATTGGGGAAAACCTTTAGTAGATTCCTAGCCTCTCTTATTTGATCTCTTATTATTCAGCGATACATTTTGTAGTCTCTTTTCTTTAACCCACTAGCTATTGATAACCTAAGAGTTGGCTATGAGTAAAATTTAAAAAAACAAAAGGTTTTAAAAACTAATTTTTTTACGAATATTCGTTTTTAAAGCCTTCTTTTTGGGAAAACGTAAGCTCATTGGATAAAAAGTAACAAAAGAGTCGTTCTCCTTCGGGAAACTGAATTCTTTCTCATGTAAATCAGATTAGACCAGATTCAATTGTTCCTGCCTCCTGTCATGGCTGCCATTAAACAAATAGACATCAGTTTTTTCATGTGTCTGTCCTTTTATTGATGCCGAGTGGATCCGCACACTGCTTTGACAATGTGATGACGCAATTTATCGTCAATAAGAGGACAGACTCATAAAAAACTGATGTGTATTTGTTTTTTGCAATAACAAAACGATAAAAACTTCTCATTTTTAGCGATCAAAACAACCAACGGAAAGAGCGCGCGCTCGTTGACGTCAGCTTTATCTGTCTGTCCTCTTATTGATGATAAAAATCAGCCAATCAGTGCGCGAGAAATTTGTAAATTATTGTAAAACACGTGATGTTGTAAAGCTTCTATTTGGTCACGGAATTACTACATCTACATTACTACAGCTACGTCCCCTGTTCCATACCTGCTGAGATGAGACAAGCTGACATTGGAATTAACAAAGGTGACTGTCTTGCATAGCACCAGCGGTAGGCATGCTCGATTAGCACAGCTATTTTTGGAAAATGTTCTTTAAAGGCCAATAATCGTGCGATGAGTTGAGCAGCCAAGCAGTCATTATCGTGTTTGATATTGCTGCTTGATAGAACCAAGGTCTCTTGTACAAGCCTAGAAATGAAAACAAAATACATATGAAGAGGGTAACTGATGGATCAGTATTATGCAAATAATACTATTAGTATAATTTTAGACTTGAACATATTTACTGCTCGAGTGGTGATACTACAACGTTTTCTTTAATCCTGAATTTCGCCTTTCCGCTGATATTCAATTCTAAAACTATACTAGTGTAATGTTGTGGATGTCTTTAGGAAGACAGTTTAGAGACACAAGTTGAGATTGTAAATCCCCTTTACTCAAGAATGACTGACTGTGTACTGATCTCAATACAATAGTAATTCAGAGGTTATATAATGTTGCAAAGCTGGCGTGACAGGGTTACAACAACGTCGCAACTAGCTAAAACAATTATTCACCTCAGGCTCAGCGATTATGGTGGAAAGCATGGGCAAAAAACAGATCAGCGGTCGGGAATAAGTCGCCTTATTCCCGACCGCTGACCTGTTTTCAGCCCAAGGTTTACGTAGACGTACTAGGAAGAGTTCAACATACTACCACAGGTATCCCAATCAACATACCTCACACCCATATCTTTGCTTACGCTTATCGCATTCTCATAATCAACCAGAACATCACTAAGAGATTGTCCTCGAATCTTGGCGTTAATCCACTCGAAATTAAAAAGGATCTTATCATCGAGATCTTCAAACTTCTCTGCCCTGATGAGGTGGTATGGCAGCTCGCTCAGCTTACGAATGTTGTAAACATCTTTGGCAAACAGCAGAGGCTGGGATGAAACCTGTCTGTCTGCGTCTGGTAGGGCTTTCTTACGTCGCGTCAGGATTATATGTTTCTTACGTCCTCCTCCCCAAGCCCCTAAGACAAAAGTATATTATCATCTATTAGCTTACTGATGAAGATATGTATTATCATCTATTAGCTTACTGATGAAGATATGTATAATCATCTATTAGCTTACTGGTGAAGATATGTATTATCATCAATTAGCATATGGTTGCTATCTCCCTACTTGCACAGGGCAAGGGTTGTGTGCGAACCCTTGCATGCCGTTTTTTTAAGACTCGAGTTTTTTCACTCAAGTCAACAGCTATTTCAAAAAAAGGTTGGTAAAGACTTTATTTCATGCTGCGTGTTGTATTAAGAACCCGAAATGCACTGTGGGCAATTTGAATACCATCAACCTACGAAAGGTAACAACAATATGGAATTTTCCTAAACTTTGTCTTCACGTTTTTTTGGCATTAATTTCTTTTGTACTGTACAACGAGCAACGAGTTTTAAGATTAAAACCCACCTCTAAAATAGTCACACATTAATGCGTGTCTAGAAATCTTCTCTTTCTTGTCACCCAAATATCTTGACTCTGCTGACTCCCAAAACTGACGATGGTACCACGTGACTATCGTCTTCTTATCCGCCTGACGTTCAACCAGAAACTCGTTGACGTCATGCCTCACTCTCGCCCACAGTAAGTTTGGCAAGCGAACAACACCTTCAACAGGAGGATCCCAATACTGATAGACGTCATCTATGACGTCATCATCTAGTGACAAAATGTCTTCGAGCTCGTTCTTTGTCAGGCCGTTACGTGCAGCGGTCATATATCCAAGGGCATGCGCGACCAAAATTCTACCGTGTTTCCTTTCCAGCCTATCGAATAAAAATCCAATGGCTTCTTTAACGCTTGCGCCGAGGGAGATACCGCTGACGTCTGTGTATGAAGACCATTGCGATGCTTCTGTGAATATGAGCTTGAGGAAAAGAGGCTGTGGACATTTGTCAAATGAGGCCATGACGACACTACGTTGATGGTCATTCAAAGTTCGTCCGATACCCTGGAGCCAAGCGTCTAGGATCTCTTGGCCAGTCTCTCTGGTAAGGGAAGGAACTTCGATGTAACATTGTTCGTCGTGAAGGCTTCGGCGAAGTGTCGGTAAAATGTCGTAATATCCGGGCAAAACAGAAAGGATTATCTTGACATTAGAAGAACAAGATTTTGGTAGCCAATTCATGAGATGCGCGTTGAAGCTGGGCGATAACTGGTCAATGGAATCAACCACCAGGACTAGGGGCTTCTCTGCAGATATCTCCGAGGAAGAAAGCAATTCGTGAAAATGTCTGACCAGCTGAGAGTAATCTTCGGCTATTTCTTCCTTCAGAGGGCCAAGATTGTAAACTTCGTGAATCTGTCGACTTATACTCGTGATGGTCGCAACGATGTTCGAAGTATCCGGGGACGTCCCGAGGAAGCGAAAAACACAAACCGAACTTTTCCCGAGCCAATCTTTGACTTTACTTACAATCATTGCCATGATGGAAGTCTTACCAGATCCAGAAGACCCGTATATAACAAGAGGTTTCAATTTCTTGTCATGGGAAAGAAAATTCCTGGCTCGTTCGAGAACGTCTTGTCGTCCCCTGAACGACGCGCATTTGTCTCTACACAACCAACTATGATGGAGAATCTCCTTTAACAGTGGATTCTGGTCTACCTTGTTAAGTTTCATAATGTTGAAACTTTTATCTATTAGTCTGTGGATATCAGACTCAAACTTGTCACAGAACTCGGTCAGGTATCGTTGGTGCCGCCTGTCGGCTACGTTGATCCCTTCTGAGGTCCAGGGCACAGTGAAATGCGTCACGTTGCTTTCGCCGAGTTTATTTAGTATTCTCTGTCTTTTTAATCGATCCAAATGCTCCTGGGCTTCAAAGTCTTGTTTACCCTGGCTGATATCTGTGTATAAGCGAGTCTTTTCTTCTTGGATGTTCACGTGGATATCTTCGATATGTCGGAAGTAGCAGAGGGTTTGAGATTCTGGGTCCGCTGATTCGAGGATGCCATGCTCGATTTCGTCCTCTGTAACTGATCACAACGATAAAGAATATTTAATTATAGAGGCTTGCACCATCACGTGACGGCAGCCATGTTAGATGGCAGGAAAGATACAATCGTTATAGGAGAAATAATTTAATTTCCCAAGAGCAGAGGGATTTTATTGTTCTGCCATCTAACCACAGGCAGCCCAAGCTGTATTATGAGCGCCGGCACGTGATGGTGCCAAACCTCTATTGGATGCGGAAAATAGCAAAAACTATAGTTCTGCTAGATAAAATAGGTTGAAAACCGAGATGAAAGAAGCAACTTGATGAATCCCTACTGGGGATCGATGCATGGGTCACGTGATCAACGGCCAGTAATCAAAATAGAATCCCAGACAGACAGATTGGAATATATATGAATGAATATGCACATGCTGTCTTTGTTCAGTTCTTATATCACGCGCACTTCACAACCGTTAAAAAGAAAATTATACTCTAGGGAATGACACGTGGTCTTAAATGGGAAAACATTGCGCACATGCTAAAAAGGTCTATTAATTTATGCTTTAAGGCTGAAAACAGTTCGTGAAAAAAATATCTATTTTGCGTACTCATGTTGTCTTTGCCGTAATTATCGGAGAAAGTTCTTTATCTATAGACTACCCAGTCTTGCGCGCTTCCCAGTTTTGTCAATACGATTCTATGCTAACCGGTTAGGCACTCGTTCCTGTCGTCAATTGGTTTGCTAGATCATCAACAAGCAACAAAACCCATCTACTTTTGCATCTATTCCCAAGTGATCAAAATACCTGATTTGAAATACTTGTGAACATCTTTTGAAGATAACTTGCCCTGGTTACCAGCGATACGTGCTGCTTGCCTTAACACTCTTTGAAAAGTCTCGAAGATATTCCACCACTGCGCTCGTTCTTTCTTGTTCTGTTCACGGGATTTTTCACGCATGTCAGTGTAGTAATGTAGTTTAGACGTTACTGGTTGGAGGACATACTCAGCCGGGATGGCATTGTCATCCTGAACAAATTAAGGAAAAAAATAATGATATGTATGCTATGTAATAGTTTCCCAAGGAAAAAAAACTTATAGTTTACCACCACCGGCCCCGTACATGGCTTTCTACCGTCAGGTTGCCTCCACGCGCACTACCACTACGTTCTATATTTACGACATACAAAGCTCGACTCAACATGTTGATTTTTACGGAGGGAGGAAACCGGAGAACCGTAGAAAACCCTCCTGGCATAGAAGAGAACAACACATCAAACAAACTCAACTTATATATGATCCAGTCTTAGCCGGGGCTCGAACCCGGACCACAGCGGTGAGAGGCGAGCAGTAAACGACTACGCCAACCATGCCACCCATGATATTCTAGAAGTAATCCTTTGCAGAGACTTTGCAGTTCTTTCATTTATTTCTTTATATATTACAACGTCCTCGTTAAAATCCTTTATATTCGCCTTACCTTCAAGAACCATTCTGTAAGCAGTTCAATGTCTGCTGTGGGGATATCTTCACAGTTTCGTGAAATTTCAAGAAGCAGCTCGAATTCTGTAGCTGGGATTTTGCACGGGAAGGGACGATAGCCATACTTATCACCCAAAAAACACTGCAACAGGAAATATTTATGCGTCATTAACGCAATGTTAATGGTATTTAACAAAAGATTTCAATTCACTCTTGTTGATACCACCAATATGGCCGCCACATCAAAGAAGAAATAAGAAGATCCAAAACACAGCACAGCACAGCACAGCACAGCACAGCACAGCACAGCACAGCACAGCACAGCAAAACATAATTCAATATAGCAATACAGAATTATGTATTGCAAAGTAGTGGATTACATACCACATAGTTTGGCCCGGGTGTGAGTCTTTTACAGGTTTTTATTTCCTCGATACACAGTTCACTAGTTTTGTGGTCAGCGGATGCTTCATCTCGTACTCCCCAGCGCATGTCAACTACTTGGAACTCAAGACTATGCTGCTCACAATAAGTTCGCAGATTCGGATAGACATCTTTCATAAGTTTGTTTCTTTCTTCGAAGGTATCTGTGTGTGGGTATAATACCCACAACATTGAGAACGAAGGAAAACCGAATTAATATAATATGAACGAACGAGGAACAAACGGTGAAAGGATGGACGGACGGACGGATGGTTTCCACAGAGTGGCTTCTCACTCACTGAATGGAGCTGGGGTTTAGAAGTTCATTTGCGCAGAGGAAGGGAAACCTTGAACTCAGAGAAACCAGAGAAGAACTTATGAAACACAGGGAAGAAGCAAATACAAAATTAATCGATCTATGGTTGCTGTTTTAAGAGTAGAAAGAATAGCAACGAAGATGAAGAACGAATAATGGAAAACGAAAAGAAAAAAAAATAGACCAAATATAATTAAAATTAATTTTGTTTGGACAGACCTGTGAATGTGGAGCTTGTGAATATCCGCACAATGTTTGATTCTTTTGGTGGCAAATCCGTTACATCACCTGTGATCATACGGTAGATTTGGTCTGCCATCGTACTTAGTGTCCTAAAAGAAAACAAATTAAACACGCCGGTTGTCAATAATACTTATTATTAATAGACTAGTCATTGTAAAGCCCTACTCCCCGCCCCCCTCCCAAGGGGTGGGGGGCCTGTGGAGAAGGGGACGAGGCTCCCAACCCTTCCCCCTCCCCACCCCCCCTCCAATTTCCCTATTTGGGCCGCTACGCAGTCTATACTCCCACCTTGGCCTACGAAGTTATGGATTTTTGAAATCAAGCATTTTTGCAAAGAAATGTACTGGCTAGTTAGCGTCTCATCGCACGCCCGGCGTGCCTAATTATTTTTATTTCGTTTTCATGTATTTCACGTACTTTTCTTCGAATTACAACAACACTTCAATGGCTGTTGAAAACAACCTAGCAACGAACTCTGATTGGTCAATAGGATAAGCAATCATACTAACTGTAACCAAACAAGAAATTGACAAGAACAGTTTTATATCTTCGAATCATGAATCAAAACCTATTTCCCATTTCCCATAGAAGACGTAAACAAGCCGTTGAAAAGGTTGAGCAGACATTTCACAGTAAGCGATCCAATATCGTACCCAGAGCCTGCGTTTCCTCTGGCCTGCGATGAAGAACGAGGGCTCTGGCATAATCCATTTTTTGACGCATGCGCAGCTTTCCGGAAGAGAAATATAATCAATGGAAATGAAGCTTTTAAACAGAGATCTCTGGTTACTTCCTATTAAAAAAAAAATTAGAAATCGGGAACTTTATTTTTTGGCAAATCTTTGAACGCATGCGCTCTCATACCGGAAGTCCAAGAAATGCTGGCCTCAAAAAAATGGATTCAACCGCTTGTTTATTTTGCCCCCTAGTCGACTCCAAAAAAAGTCACGTGATTGATAGTAAGCAATATGAGGGAGCTTTGGGTACGAGAACGCCGATAAAATTTTCAATAATTATAATAAGATTAAAATGATTCAATTGATATTTATCTGCTAAAGGAAATACAGTATTACTAATAAAGTGATTTGATTATCGAATTATTTGAATGCTAAAAATTCATGGATAAATTTATAAAAGATTTGAGTACGTAGTAATCGATCATGAGTGACAACCTCGGATACTGTGAACGGCCACTCTAGTTCTTCAGACCTTCGAGTAATCTGATTTAAAATATGAAAATACTTGAGAATAGTTTTAGTGAGAATTTTTCGATTTTGTACCGTAAAAAGTTATATGCGAAAACTTTAGTTTAAAATCTCGAGCTAAGTCTAATAAAAGGTTGAATGAGTTCAAGTGGTAGCAGGGCTAAAATTTGCCGAAATTATGCCCGGCAAAAATATTTTAAAGAAATATACTTTTTACCTTTAAGTTGATCTTGTGTTTCTGTGAACTTTTTTAGCATTCCTTTAGCGCCTTACATTCAGAATAAACATATCTTAACATATTTAGGGTCGTTCAGTGGAAGCCAGCTGAAGCGGGATAGAGATCATTTGCATTTGCAAGACAATTCAATTTACTGATGCATTAAAGTTATGAAGTAGAATTAAGTGATTAAACGCATAAATGGAAAATAATATTTTAAACCTGGAATAATTAACCAAAACTATTTATCTTTTTAATCAACGCATCAGTAAATTAATAAAAATATATATATTTAGAAAAATAAAAATTATATGATAAAAATTCTATAGGGGGGTGGGGGGGGGGTACGATAAGGATTCTTCGTAACCAAGCAATGATAATTAAAACTAGAAATAAATAGAGTATATAATTATAAACCTGTAATATTCAAAATTATTTATCTTTATCATCGTAGCAACTAAATCAATAAAGATTATGCATAGAGAGTCGTAAGAGAGAAGAACGATAATTTAAAAAGTACAATAAACCCGAGGGGGGTCCGTAGGGGAAGGATTTTTGTCATCCTATGTAACCAAGCCGTGCCTCTTCTCGAGGCTTTTAAAAGTAGTGGATAAATCGAAGATATATTGAATCGAAAAACTCTCTTAAAACAACTAAAAAATATCGCGATATCCTGGCCTTAGACACAAGATTTTGTCACCATGTTGGCTGTGATGAACGATGAACAACTAAAACGCCTCTCACAACACAAATACAGCTCACAGTGCTCGACTGTTTTGGATCCTTTCTTTCAAATCTATTGGAGATGGCTTGTAGAGCAGATCCCTCTTTGGGTGGCTCCAAATCTACTGACTGTACTTGGTCTAATCGCTAATGTGATTACTTCGTTTATTCTGATGTACTACTGTCCACAAGCTAAAGGAACGGTGAGGAGTTGTTAGGGTTTGTCTTGGGTCGATGAAAAGCATGGTTAAACTAACTGTTTCGCGTCTGGTTGCATCTTATTATATATTTCCTTGATTATCGCAAGTGCTGAAATAGCTTAAGCTTATTTTTGCATCAGTTTGTCCAACAACTTGATACAAAGCCCGGAAAAATACGGTCCAAAGCGCTACATAATGCCTTAAATACGCGCAAATGCCCTCATTTTGGTTAATAACATACTTATTAACATAACAAAATGTTCAACCTATTGTGTTATGGATCCCTCTTTGCATTATGTAATTATCAAAACGTTGATGTACAAACCACTGTTTTATCAAGGTATTTATTGAGGAAAAAAGCTGAGCTTGGATGTATTAGAATTCAAAAAATATGAATTATTTTTCTTAATAACTTGATTATATATATATAATTTTGATTCTCTGTGGTATATGCTGTTTGGCTTGTGGTTACATCAGGTGCTAGGAAAACTGTAGAAACAGTGTACAAGTTACCCATGTACGTTTAAGGCCTATTATTTCATATTTCTTCATGCCTTTGACATAGGTATAACCTGGTCAGAGCAACATAAGTTTGTAACTAAATCATTACCATTTATGCTCTGACAACTGTTTACATAAACTACTCATGCATCATCATTATCATCTTGCCGTCAGTACCAAGATGAACTGCATTAGGCCCAGTCAAAACCTCAGTGTGCAGAACAGGCAGGCTTAGCCTTGAATTCAGGAGTTGCTTGTTTTGTTATTCTGTTTTCTACTTTTGCTTTCAAATCTGAGAAGTTTTAAGAGTCGTCAAATGTGGCAAGCCCTGTTGAACTTAATGTGTTTGCCATACCAAATTCATACTCCTGGCCTCTTTGTGTGCCCTACTAATAATTCATCAATTACGTTTGGCATGATAGGCCTAAATTTAGTTAGACATATTTATTAAGTTCATCATCTAAATCTTCAGAAGTCATCCCAAAATGAGTCGTACTCTACATCAGTAGATCATGACCGTATGGAAGGGGCAGTAGGCCAGTAGTTATAAACTAGCACGCACTATACAGTTATTAAAATAGTAGAGACAGAGGATATTACATGGGCGCGCAGAGATATGAGTTTTATCTTCGAGTGTTCAATTGATATCTCACAAGTGAGAGCAGGGAACAAGTGAGATATCTGAATTGAACACAATTAAGAAGATAAAATTCGTATCTCCAAGCAGCCATGTAATGTTCTGTTTATTATATAGATATCGATGAAACTTAAATAAAACAAAAGCTCAAAGATTCTTTATTAAAATAGCAAGCCAATTCAACAGCAATATCTTCACGTGTGAAAGATATGGTATCTTCCACTGGTGAAAGATATCAAGTTTTCAACACAAGAGAAAACCTGGTATTTCATCGATATCTATATAATAATATCAAATGATGTCCAAATCCAATAAATTTCCTATTACTGTATGTCTGAAATCAAATGAGTGATTCCAAAATTGCAAACTGCTTATTAGCAGTTTACCACAAGTTTTCATTTCAGACTTTAAAGTTTTAATTGTGCCCTTAATTATATCCATTTTGAAATCTCCTGCATTAATGCTAAATTTAAAATCTAATTTTAATGTTAAATTTAGTGAAAAGCCTATTGGCTCATCAGTTGGGTGAGCATTGGACTGATGTTGTGTGGAAGATTCCACACTTCATTATTACTAAACAATATCGGAGGGAAGTGAAAGATCCACATGTAAAGAAACCCTGGCAGTGACCATCCTCAGCGCCTACACCTCATACTAACCACCCCAATCACCATGCTATGTAAACAACTGTGTCTCAGATGTTTTTTAATCAAAAGATATCGACTTCTTTGCAAAGACAACCATGGAAAACTCAAAAATCTAGATTTAATGCGTAATTGCACTTGATCTGAGAAATCCAATAACTGGACCTAAGAAAAGAGAGAAATAAAGAACCCAATAACTTTTTTCAGGCAATTCTGCTGATTGGGTTTCCAAAAACTATGTTTATTTAGCTTTCAAAAAAGAATTATATACTGTATGGCAAAATATCATAAAGTCCTTGCAAAATTTGAAGTTGTGAGTATTGTCATTAGGAACCACAACCCTACTGATATCTAAATATATTAGACAAAGCTACCTTGCTTCATGGGCATCTCATCACTGTGGAAAAAGAAACACTACCAAGATAGAGAAAATTAATGAAATGATATTAGAGTAAAGGTTGGAATGAAAGTCAGTAATAAGTTTTGGTTAACAAATTAATCTCATTATCAGTTATTATTATCATAAGTGTCTTTCTCATTTGCATTAATATATTACACTGTATTTAAATAGTATTTTATTGGATATATTTCTTATTTATGAATTGTATATATTTCTTGTTTTTTTTTATTATTATTATATATTTTGATATTTTAATAGTTTTGTAGTTTTAGGTGGACAACCTGTAAACTAGCCTTAAGCTAAGCATACTGTATGTCTCCAAGTTAAATAAAGTTATTATTACATGTATATTATTATTATTATTATGGGCAGGGAAACCACATAGAGCAATGCTCCACTGGGGACCCAACATATATTAAATTTATGATTGAAGTGTTAAGTATGAGGTGTATAGGCACTGAGGGTGACTGCCAGGGCTTCATGTACATCCTCAATGTATTACCTTTATCAGCCTGTGATATTGTTTATAGTGATAAGTTTGGAGACATTGGATCTCTATTTAAAGAGACCAGTCATCCAAGCCACTTGAGTGGCCATCCATTTGCAGATGTAATTACAAAGGTAGCACTTTCTCCTCAGTTTTTTCAACCATAATTGTTTGTCCAGTTGGGCATGAACCTATGATCACCCGCACAACAGGTTGATGCTAAGCCAATGAGCCAACCGGTTGTAGATATATACTGTTGCACAGAAGTTGCAGCTAAAAGTTTCAACATGAGTTTCTAATATTAGTTTTTATTTATTCCCTGTATACATAGGCTCCATGTTGGGCATTCCTGACCTGTGCCGTTGGTTTATTTATTTACCAATCTCTTGACGCAATCGATGGTAAACAAGCTCGACGCACTAATTCTAGTTCACCTCTTGGTGAGCTAATGGACCATGGTTGTGATACCATATCAATGGTTGTGCTATCCCTGGCTTTTTGTATCTCTGTTGAACTTGGCCATAACCCTCAATGGATGTTTTTCATTTGTTTCTTTGCTGTTTTTTTGTTTTACTGTGCACACTGGCAAGCATATGTGTCAGGGGTGATAAAATTTGGAAGGTTAGTAAATATAAATATTAGTATAAAGATAAAAACTCAAATTATAATTGAAGATCTTTTATCTAAGTTACTACACTTTTACAGCTATCCTGAGTAGAGCTGTTGTACCTCTAGTGATTAAGTGGAACCTATTTATCTCTATAAAGTACATGATTGTATAGTCAAAAGCATGGGTTTTTTTGAAAATTATACGATTTTTCAGGAGTTGTTTTTCACAGGAATTGTGCAATTAACTTAGGTCAATTTGTGCAAAAATTAGCACAATTGCATTTTATACCCCCTTTTATTAAGCAAACACCTTTGATGTGACGGATGTGCTCTCACAGCTATGCAACCCTATGCTTCCCATGACTGAATCTCTTTTTCTATTTTTGATGTATAGAATTGATGTCACAGAGCTGCAGGTGTCTGCTATGATCATTTTTCTCCTAACAGGCATCTTTGGTTCTTCTTTTTGGGCAATTAAGGTATGATTTGACTATTAATCATTCTTGTGTAGTTTCTCTTGTTATGTACACCATCATGGCTGCCATGCCTCTATTCTTGGTTAGCATGTGACATCATCACCACCATGTTGGTGTACCGTTAACCAATGATTTCTCGTTAGCTGCTCTTGTTATGTACACCAACATGGCTGCCATGCCTCTATTCTTGGTTAGCATGTGACATCATCCCAGCCATGTTGGTGTACCGTTAACCAAAGATTTCTCGTTAGCTGCTCTTGTTACGTAAGCCAACATGGCTGCCATGCCTCTATTCTTGGTTAGCATGTGACATCATCACCGCCATGTTGGTGTACCGTTAACCAAAGATTTCTCGTTAGCTTCTCTTGTTGTGTACACCAACATGGCTGCCATGCCTCTATTCTTGGTTAGCATGTGACATCATCATCACCATGTTGGTGCACTGTTAACCAAATATTAATTTTTCTCTTCAGATTCCTTTAATTGGTGTATCACTAAAGATAGCTCTTCTGTGGTCTTCTGTGGGTGGTACTGTTTATGCCATGTGCTCAATTTTTAGTCAAATATATGAAGGAGGAAGAGGGAAAAATGGCTCAACCATTGCTGTAAGTGTAGATGCTGCTGTGCTTGTACTGTTTTGCTTGTACTACCTGTATGTAGCCAGGGGGTGAAGCGGTTGCTTCACACTGACCTGCAAATGGTTTCTCCTTTACAAATGATTCCTCCTTTACAAATGGGACCTTTTCCCCCACGATTAATGATTCCTCCCCCAATATATACAGGCTAGGTATTTTATATTCAAGAAGAAGGGAGCTGGCTATGTCACTGTTGCATTGTTGGTTAGAAAGTTTATGGGAAAATTGGTTGGTTGCTTTGTTGGTGTGTTATTTCATAATTTGGTTGGCTGAAAGCTGTAACCATGGCATTTTAATAGTTATAGTAGGTTTGATTAAAGGCCAGATCCAAAGAGATGGTCTTTCACAACAACTAAGCTATAGAACAGAGCCACCTGAACGATATCATGTTCCTACTTCGGACTTGACTATCTTACATATAAATGCAGCTTCTACCTAGCTACCTACCTAGCTACCTACCTAACTACCTACCTAGCTACCTACCTAGCTACCTACCTACCAACCTACCTACCTACCTACCTACCTACCTACCTACCTACCTACCTACCTACCTACCTACCTACCTACCCACCTTTCCACCTACCCACCTACCCACCTACCTACCTACCTAGAATGTCATCGTACATGGGATAACCATATTGATACATTCTTCTTTCTCCCAAAGTTTTTTAAAAAAAAGAATTAAATTGCCAAGCTTCTGGTCTAGCAGTTCATCTTCTTGTCCCAATTCTTTAACCCTAAAGATGCTTTACTTTCTAGGATGCAAAAGCTTGGTAATTTTTTGTTCAAACCTGGAAGAAACAAAAACGTATCAATATATTTCTACCTTGTTTTGAAGATTTTTCTCTGACGTACTAACTAGTAATCTATACGGAAGAAAATCATTTATTTCTTGCTTCCTATTTCAGGGTACAAGTGTTTTATCTCCATTAATTCCAATTGCTATCATGTTGTACATGAGCTACTATGTGGCCCACAAGTCTCCAATGAAGGTTTTCCATAATCAACCATGTTTGTATTTTCTGGCATTTGGTTTGGCCATTTCCAAACTTTCCATGAAATTAGTGGTAAGTCATAACAAACCACAAAGCTGTGGGTTAAAACAAGTACTTCTCATTCTTGACTCAATACATTGTTTGTCGAAATTAAAATATTCCAGTTTCTTTTCTCTCTCTCTCTCTCTCTCTCTCTCTCTCTTAAAAACTATAACATTACTATTATCAGGGTACCTTGATTTCTGACAATTTAATCGTCCTTCACCTTACCGTTTTGGAGATCAAACGGTGCTCTTTACGATGACGACAATTGTATTCAAGCCAAAAGCAATCCCTTGTTCTGGGAGTTTCTTGAAAAAGAGCGGTCGAAAATTATAAAACTCGCGATCTTAAAAAACTGATTAGATTGATTGAAAAATAGCTATCATGGTTGAAATCTGTGTTTATTCAACATCAAGAAAATATATACTTTTATAGCCATAATTAGCGGGAATAGCTAGTGCGCCATGACGTTTTTAGTGAACATCGGTCGCGAAGGTCCCCCCTGGTACCTTAAACTGATAATTATACAGTAGCATGCATTTTTAAAGAAGTATTAGATCTCAAGCGCGCACAGCATTTACATAGATAAACATACGATTAAACGTTATACACACAGCTGCGCAAATTATTTCCGTTACCTACATCCATGCGTTTTCCGGTTAAAAAAACAAGCTTTTGATGTGTTTTGGCCTTCAATCCACTCTGATAATCACCAGAAATGCTATTTTTTTCGACGAATACCTTGTCAAGAGTGAAGAAACGTTAAAAATGAATCTTAACCGTGTCGGCGAAAAAGGAGACTTCACTTGCACGCTTTTCATTGTTTGGCTGTAAACTGGTCGAAAATGGCTCAAAAACGCTACCATTTATGTAGAAAGGCATTGTCCCATTTTTAGAAGTAGATTTTAAAAAAGTAGCGATTTGTAAATGCTCTGGTGTTGACCCATATATACGCATACTTAAGATTAGATGACCCAAGGCTTCCTTCAATCAATAGTTAGTATTTTCATATTATCTATTAATTTTCTTGTTTGACGGAAGTCTAATGTAAGACTACGGTACGCTAGGGATCTCTGGTCTGTCGAGCTCGTTTTATTGAACCTTGTCTTTGGCGTTACTTACAAGTTGAGTGTCAGAGCTAACTACACAAACTAGAGCAGAGTCAGGTTGACCAGAAGGCCTTTCCTTAGTCGGTGTGGCTGTTAGTCCAGTTAGTTCCTTACTCGGCCACTATTACTTAGGTCTGTACCTCCCAGTACAACCAGAACTACATTCTTACAACCTTAAAAAACGTGGATGAAACAAAAGAGTAGTAAAGTCATGACTCCCACAAACAAAGAAACTCTTAGCCTTGTTCATATCTAGATACAAGATTGAATGCGTAGAGATAGCTAAATGGCTCGTCCTTTTATAACAATGTAATCTAGTCTGAGATTCTATTTACACCACGTATCTAGACAACCAAGTTCAACTTTGGTAATTTCATGAATGTTAAGGTCAATTTGAAAGAGGCTTGTAGAACAGGAAACTACAAGTAGATCTCTAAGTCAAAACAATATCGGTTACCGAACTAAACATGCTTGACTTATACAAAAAGCATTATTCATGTGAACAATCATTCCTAAAATTCTGTTGCACAACACCAACTAGACCTTTCCCGATTTCGCCCGAGTGACCATGAAGCAATGAACAATATCCTCGAGGATGAACGTGATGTGTTCATAGATCTACTGTATTTTATTAAGTCCAACCTCAAATTATGACCATCGTTTCTTGGTCGCGCAAAACTAATTCAGGAAAGGTCTATTGTCAGTGTATATGTTCGTAGTCTAGGTGTTGGTAGTTGGTAGTTTTGAATATGGGTGTTATTCCCCTGTGATTTTGACACAAGTTTAACATTTCCCGCCAATTCTATACCCGAACATGCGTTCTCTGCATTGACCATTTCCCCTCTTTTACTCCGACGAAGGACTAGCGTCCGAAACGTCAGTAAGTTTTTTCATCTTTTCACGGTGTATAATTTACCTTTTCATCATTACTGTTTCATTAGAAACACCGACGCAGCTCACACTAGTTTTTAGGCTAGTTATATCATTTCCTCACTGTTTGTTTCTGTATCGTTTGACAGGTTGCCTGCATGTCTAAAAGCCCTTTGGATTTCAAAGACTCTACAATGCTGGGAGGAATAGTTCAAATATTAAATATTCATTACGGGAGTCCCTTTGATGAGTTCTTACTTCTTTATCTTATGTTGGTAAGTAGAACTGAAAAAGACTTGCTCCACAGGGATCCAAGTTTGGGATTATTTGAACCCCAACACTAGAGCAATAGAGGGTGGTCGTTTCCTTTCCCATTCATGATACCACCAGGAAAAAGTCAAAACATTTTCCAAAATAGTAACCCGATTTTACTAACTTAGATGTAGATACAAGTAAATACTCACTGCCCCCTACATCTCTACTAACATACAACACAGAGCTCGTAGGGACTCGAACCTGGGTCGCATTGGTGAGAGGCGAGCACTCTCACCGCTACGCCACCCATGCTTCTCATAAATATATAATACTTTGTGGCTTTAAGGGTAACCAGAAGGAAAAACCGCACTTGTGCTGAAGGCATGATCATACAGAAAACACCTCGTTTGATGAACAAATAGAAAATGAAACAATAAGAAACAGAAAGAGAGCACTTTTTTGTAAATCAACTCATTTTCCATGACACCAAACGTTTTGACCAAATTTTACAGATTAAAGCACGTATAGTGTATACTCAATTAAAGAACGCTTCATTTTGGGATTTTAAAAGAAAAGCATTATCTTCGAAGGCAAAGCATTATTTGCTACGTGAAATTAGATAATTTCGAGATTTGACTTACGTTTGGAGATATTTGAGGCAAATCCAGCATTTCACTTCTTGAGGTGTTGGGTACCGGGTATCCTCACCCCTCCGCTCTAAGTCAGGTCCCGTAAGACCACAAATGTTCTGCCCTTATCTCTTAGATTCCCTTAGCCGTAGTCCTAATAAATCTTCATGAATCTCGTGTATTTCTTTTTATTTTCGTTAAACAAACCGTTCTTATTTTCTTGCAGGCTTATGTCATATTCGACGTCGCTCGCTACTGCACAGCGGTTTGTAAGCAAATATGTGACCATCTTAACATCTGTTGCTTTACAATACCCTATGAACCTTCAACAAAGACCAAATAAACACCCAGTATTCACAAGAAAGTACATATCGTTAAGTAAAGTTCGGACGTTTTATTTCTTAAATAATGTTTAAATTATCCATTTTTGACACTCAAAAACTGTTTCTGTTGTAAGTTGTATTTGTATCGATTCAGGAACACAAAAGTTCTTTCTATGATTTTAAATCAAGGGACGAATAACAGAAGGTGTTCATTGGTGATGCTAAAAAAGGAACCAATAACATTGACTTCGGTTTTGATGACGTATGTAATCAGTCAGACGTGTTTTAAACTCTGTTTGTAGATATCACTCTCTTTAAGCAGGAGATTATATAGTAGAATGATTCCAACTGATCCATCTTTATAACTGGTGGCGTGCATCATCCCTTCCCATGAAGTACGCCATGTCTGTTGACAAGACAAAAGACACCAACACTAAATCTTTTGTCAAAGTCAACCGACATTGCGGATGTGACGTTACTTTCACCTCAAAAATTATTTTGTTATCATTATGTTGAATGCTTTTGTTGTATTTATGGATCAATATCTATATCGCACATTTGTTCCAATCTCGTACCCAGAGTCTGCGTTTCTTCTGGTATGCGACGAAGAACAAGGGCTCTGGCATAATCAATTTTTGGCGCATGCGCAATTTTCCGGAAGTGAAATATAATCAATGAGAATCATGCTTTCACACAGAGTCCTGTGTTTACTTACCAAAAAAAAAAAAAAAAAAAAATTAGAAATCGGGAACATGTATATATATATACCGGAAGTCCTAGAAATCCTGTTCTCAAAACATGGATTATGCCTGAGCCCTCGTTCATCACCGCAAGCAAGAAGAAACGCAGGCTCTGGGTACGAGATTGACATTTGTTCTCCATTTGTGCAAACACTCGCGGTGAGGCCTTGCTGTATGTTGTCAGTTCTAAGCTTTAGTTGAAATTAAAATGGATTACCTCAGTCAGTATTAACAGAACAACCGTACCGTGGAAAATAGGAAACGTTTCGGTCGAATAGCAAACATCATGAAGATATATATTGTAGACGTGAAGCGAAAAACCTTAGGAAAGAGAACCTTTGACGACAGCCATTTTGAAAATTGAGTTGATAATACACTCTATTGCAAAATCATTGTCATGTTTTAAAAAAAGGCGCTGAGACCGAAGTGGTACACGGGAAGTACGTCAATGAGATGTATCTAGTGATACGAATCATGGAATTCTCAGAAATTGTTACACTGACAGAAAGCATGGAGGCTTTTAACACATACACAGTGTATCTCAAATGAATACATCTGAGGATAATTATGTATTGCCATCATACCTTTCGGTCTCACCTCCTATGTTCTATACTTTGAACCCCACAATGATTTTACAATTGATTGTGCCCTTTAGTATCTCCGTCATGTGTGACGAACACTTGTATTATAAGGTACATATACCACTAATTTTAAGCATATTTGTACAAGTACATCAAGCACCTACCTTCCCAAGACCTTGTTCACGTTGCTACCGATTTTTCAAGATGGTTGTTGAAGAAGTTTAATTTAATATATATTTATCCATTTGGTAAAGGTTTTCATGGACTGAGTAAAGCTATTGTACACGTATTACGTGATGAAGGTTGTGTTTTCTTTGCGATATTTTCATATAATTATGCTTATTTTAATACGTTGGATAATGCATCTGTAATCAAATAATATGAACTTTTAATTAATTGATAATATCTTAATAGTCGAATAAATTTAATGAAAGTTACATTGCTTTATTGCTTTTATTTTTGCATCTATTATTTTATAAACCCCATAAATGACTGCATGACCAATTCATATCAAACATTGAGTGGCGTCTGATTTCCCTGTGTCTGCTGTTGTCTGCGAGGCAGACCCAAGAGTTAGCATCGTCCCCGTATCCTTCCTCGACGGCCTTTTTGTTTGCCGCTTTTCCGCACAATCCAAACATGGAATTGATCATACCATATATGGAGTGAGCTTTCTCTACTCCAACTTCGACACTAACACATAGAGTAAAGCTTGATATGCTAAGGCATTCATTTCAAAACCGAATTCGTGCTTTATCAAAAATCAAAACTGAATTTTATCGAAAAAATGCTTTTGGATAGTGCATGTATGCGATTACTTTATTGCTGTATTCTTTGTCAGGGGCAAGGTGAAAACAATGGTCCAAAATATAGAGGGACCTGATTACGATTTGGCTTTAAGTTTAGCGTATGGTGGTAGCTAGACCCAACCCTCCCCTCTAAATTGGGTCTCGAAAAATAGCAATTCATTTGACCATGACCTTAAAGGAGTTGGCATTCCAGTGCATTGTGGGACTGTTTCAGGGGATATTTCCAAGATGGCGTCTATTTCTTCCCCTAAAAAGGCCCACAATGCACTAGAATGCTATAACACGACCCAGTTTTTTCCTCCACCTCGGGATGACTTTATTCCCTTACATTCCCTACTCAGGGGTTAGCCTCAGTATTGTTCAGATTACTTATTTCATTTTGTGCAATTTTTGAAAGTGTTTGTACAGTGATGTTATATATCTTTTTGATTAAAAGCAACGAGCAATTTTCTAAGTTTAGGGTCCGGTCATTATTAATCTCCTGGGGGGGGGGGGGGGGGGGAAAGATTGTTGAGACACGAAGCTGGAACTATATTTCATTATGACCACTTTTATTAGCGGTTGATACTGAGTAATCCCCTTCCTCCAGTTGTCTAAACACCCCCCTCCCCCTAAGTCCTCCCGACCCCACCCCACAGCAAGGCAATTAAAAATGACCAGCCCCTTAGGGTACAAATACAAGTGGTGGTGGTGATATTGGTCGGTATTTGTGAATACTCTGACATTCTGTTGAGGCTATAAGTAAGCCTGAGTAAATGAGTCTGCCAGCAAGGAACATAAAATTATTTTCTATGAATCGTGACTAATTTAAATCCTAACTTCTAATGGATACATATTTTAAAACGTATTACCAAGGGGGATGTCCTAGAGGTGGGGTCCCCACCCTCAGTTTAGTGTACAGTTATAATTAAAGCCTTGTGTCATAATATTGATTGTCAGCTGTGTACTTCCTTTCCACGACTGGTGTGACCTGTGGAAAAGATATTCGCGATCAGCTTGTGGATTCAATATACAAAACAAATTTAGGATTGTAACCAACGCTCATAGACACCATAATGAATTAAAGTTGTCTCTGACTTGTGAAATTTACAATTTTTTAAACAGACGTTTCGATCTAAACAAAGAACGTCATCAGTGACACTGTTTGATGCTATATCTTTAGCTTTGGGAAAGGAAATGATTAGTTCAAAATCCTCGGTTCTTTTGTCCTTTGATTTTTTTCTACAACGCGCTCTATTTCTGTTAGGTTCATTTAGGTTTCTAAGAGCTTCAGTACTCTCTCATTGGCCAGTTCAAAAAATTGCGCGCAAGCCTTTTAGTTTTAATTCAAACGAACAACAAATTTTTCTAACATCAAATAGCATCAAATATAGCGTTTATTATGGGGCGCGGGAATTTCTTTCTCTTCATGATAAGAAAAGAAATATCTGGCATTCATGCTTGTAACCATCATAGGCCCCGTTTGATGCTGTTTTTAGAATCACATTTGCCATCGTTTGTTTGTCTGCACGCGATCTACACGGTTTGCTCACGTTTTCTCGAAAAACACAAGAGAACATAAACAAATAGCATAGAGCGTGCGCAGTAGTGCAAAAAAAACGATAGCAAATGTGATTCTGAAAATAGAATGAGAGTGGTGATGATGGGGCGCGGGGATTCTCTTAGTTCATTTTCTCTTGTTCTCTTCCTTAACTTCCTCTTGTTCAAAGTAATTGAATCAATCATTCCAGGATTCAAACTTAAACACGAGACACCAGAGGCGAGAGCAATACTGTTACAACATCGTTTTGTATGACTGTGAAAAGCTCGGTGCTCGGTGCTCGGTGTGCCTTGCCGTGACAGTCATATTTTCTACAATTTTGACTGATAATTTTCTGGCCCAGTATGATTGGTCTGGCAGTGCCAAAACCTTGACGTGCCCGTGTCCGTGCCGTGCCGTGTTCATGTCATGTTCCAGGTATTTAATTGGATAGAGAGTAAGTTCTCACGCTGTGGGATTGGTCTGGGGTATGTCACGACCGCGTTCGTGCTGCGAGCTTTTCATGGTCATAAAAAAACTGCTCTATTTCCAAATGCAACTAATTCTTAACTAGTGACGTTTCTTTTGTGTTACAGTTTTTCTGACTCACCGCGGGGCTTCTCAAGGCTGTTCTCATATGGTCAATACCAGATATTCCTGTTGTTATGTCGTTGCTTTTGGGCGAGATTACTTTGCGGCTTTGTTCTACAAATACAACACATCGTAAGCACGTGGACTATACTTAGTTTTGATTCTTACTAGATAGGGCAACATAGGGCGAAATAGGGTCAGGAAACTCAGAAGACTACAGATGTTAGGAAGCGATCGAGGTGTAGAAAAGGGACATTCATGATATTTTGAGCCATAAGAAGATTGATGGCTGGTCAAGATAACCTAGTAAAGAGTCCCCTCTTGTCCAGTTCCTGTCCCTTGTCCAGTCCCTATCCCTTGCCCAGTCCCTTCCCTCTCCTTTCCATCCCTTTGGACTCCAAGTAATGTCTCTTTCCACTGTGTACGTGGTTTTGATTTTGGGACCCGTTATCCGTTATCCACTCTGATTTGGATTCGTCTAATCTGCCTCTCCGTCTGCCCCCTCCTTTCAAAAAATAAACATTTTCTGGTTCGGTGCAATAGACGCTTTCCGAGATGCTCGAGCGCTTTAATCAATATCGCAGGCGCAGATATGAAAACATAAACATATGTTATTTACCGGCCAGGAGGTCCGGATAGGGAAAAACTGTGCCAGAGGTGTATTGAATATACGATGTCTTTTCAAGACCGAGACTATAGTACGGTAAATAACTTTTTTTTCCTGTACTTGTTTACTTGTTTTAGTAATCATTTTGTTTTGTTGTTTAGCAGCAAAGGATACCGGACCGCGAGCGCGGGCGGATACTTACAAAATACCGCCCGCTCAAACAGCCAATCAGAACGCACGATTTTTTAGGATACGGGACCGTAAAAAAATAAGTGTTCATAAGACCCTTTGGAAGCCATAGAAAAAATATTTGGTCTGAAAATCAGCTGTATTTTTTTAAAAAGTCATAATCCTGCTTCTGAAGTAAAAGAAATTTCGAAATACTCCATTAACATAGTTTCAAATTTTTTGCGTATGTTGCGCGCATTACAGTATTTTAATCAACTCAAAAGTTGATTCATACTATCTTACCATTGGTTCGGCCGGTGCACATGTCAAAGAGCTTCCTCACGTTGAATAGTTTTCTAAACTGTGGGTTCGAAAACGTATAGAGTAGAGGATTGATCGAAGAATTGATTGGCAGCACAAATACAGCTATCCAAGCATATGCCTGCCCACTGGAATCACGAAACTGGCCAGTCAGTGATAGACAACCAATGATAACAACAGGAATCCAGCAGCAGAAATCGGTGACGATTATCAAGACGACACGCAGAGCGAGAGACGAGTCCTTCTTCATATTTGAACGTACTTGTTTAGATGACGTTTTGACTTTAAAGAAGATTGCAATGTAAGCTAATAGGATGAAGAGGAACGCGAATCCATTGAAGGCGATATAGACAAACACTGCATACTCCCAACCCGTTGGTCTTGCGCTAGAAAGCTGTAGGGGTAAGCAGACTGATGATCTACCATAGAAGAAGATCCTTCTGTCATCGCCATAAAAAAGGTCAAAGGAAAATGGCGCGAGACTCATGAGTAGAGACAAAACCCATATAGCAGCACAAACGATGCGTGCGCTCTTCATATTGAAGGGACGCGCTTTGATATGGAATACAATACTGTTGAATCTATCAGCTGTGATGGTAGTTAAAATAAGGACGGATGCTTCACTAGACAGCATCGATAAAGCCCCAGCAAGCTGACACGTTATCGATATGCGCCATTCATAGTCGTGCGTGAAATACTTGTCTTGCCACATACTGTCGTGAACAGCAATTATGATCAAGTAGATACCCATTAGTAAATCAGATACGGCAAGGTTGGTAAGCAAAAAGGACTGGACGCGAGATTTTTTCCCTCGGTCTCCAGGATCGATGTCCGCCAGGCGGTTCCAGTAGAAGATCACACCTATATTGCCAAGCAACGCTAGAACCCCAAGGATCCAGATGAAGACTCGAAGAGCCAAGATCTTTAACAAGTCTTCGCAGCTTGAGAGGTAATTATCATCTAAAGACTTGCACTGAAGGCCTTTAATAGTCTTCTTTGCATAGCAACACGCCATAAAACTGTCAAGTCTCCTTCAATGAAATTCATAAAAGCAACAACAAAAAAACGAATGAGTTAATGAAAAAACAGTAACATTATTACATAATATAAAAAATACAACCAGTTTTCTCCCATTATTGAATCTAGATCTCGAGTAGGTAAAGATAACGCACTGGTCAATTTGAAACCCTTCCACGACACCAAGGACAGGCAATTATTTTATTATCATAAAGTAGTGTTGATTTGATAACTTTTACCCGGTACCTGTGGGTAATTCATAGAGTAAAACAAAGGTCATCGAGCAAGGTCATAATATAAACTTGATTGTGATCTTACTTGACATTTTATTTTCGTACAAAACAGAATTACTCTATCTATTTTTAGTGTTCCTTACTCCGTGTCCACTGCATGTTTGAAAGCTTATACCTTATCGGAATCGCGGCATCTTCCTCATTCATGAAGGTGATACCGCGTTCAGTCTCCGCCCTGAGTATACAGCTATTTCAAAAAGTGTTGAATGCTGCATACTGATTACTGCATACTGAATAGCCCAACGCTGGTATAGACGTAAGCTAAAATGTAAATAAAGCCATTTTGTTTTAATATAAAATAGAATCTAAAGAATGTACGTTTAACCTGAACTTGGCTTCCAAAAGACTGTTGTTAATAACTGCCACAATGACATGATTTGTTACTTACTATACATTATTCAGTATGCAGTATGCAGTGAAATAGCTGTATATGTTTGTAGTCTGTAAATAAATTCAAAACTACTGTTTTTGTTGAAATAAATGATATGACAAATGGCATTGTCTTACACTTACAGTTGACGCAGTTTCGGAAGATGTGCAAATGTTTCATGATTGATTTGGTCTTCGTGTATGTCGTTGTGATCCAGATATCTGAAACAAGTAAAATAATACTTTGAATGAGGTTTTCGAATGTTGAACTAAATACCTATAAAAGATTTAAGACATTTTAATTCAATTAGTATTTAAATGCAGATAGTATTTGAAGCTCATACATGAATATCCAGTGACTAAAAGCATGGTGCATTACTACAATTTCAGTGCTTCTCCATGCTCGGAATCGTCGTTGCGATGAAGTAAGTTCCAGTAATCGTCACAGATTCAAGGCTTTGTTAATACATTCAATGTCATACAAACATCTTAATTGACGTCAACTAAAATCCTATTTTCTCGCGAGCTAAATTGTACGATTCAATGCGATTGAAGAATAGTAATGTGGCTGTGACTGAGTGTGGGACAGGGCAGTGCATATCATGAGATAAGAAAAACTGAATCCCAGTGAGCAGACTAGAGCATGTTCCCATGCTTGGATGCGCATGCGCAGAAACTTCCATCCATAATAGAGGAAAATTTGAAGCACGTGTGGTTATCATTCCCCACCCCAGCCTACCAGACATGCGTGCAAATGAAAATCCAAGATCAACGCTGCGCAAGAATACTGCGGCACTTGCCTTCCTATGATGTAATGCAGAATATTATTCGAAATTTGAAGTTAATAGACCCTTTAAGCTTGGTCGTAATGTTTTCCCAATTTAGATCACATGTTATTCGAGAATATCATGTCTTTGTCTAATGGTTAACACTGAGAAGACACAAGGAGAATCTTATACTCAAGAGATTGACACGTGGTCTGAATTGCAAAAAGATTGCGACGAAGCTAAATTGATTTATTGAAGTCCTTTTTCATTACAATTCTTCCAGCGAAGATAAGCCAATGAACGATTCTTTAGTTATTTTAGTTAATATGTTGTTACTGAGGTATCTAAAAAAGAATAAGAGAAAAAAAATATAAATGAGCATTTACGGTAGTGGTAGTGGTGGTGGTAGTGGTGGTGGTGGTGGTGGTGGTGGTGGTGGTGGTAGTGGTGGTGGTGGTGGTGGTGGTGGTGGTGGTGGTGGTAGTGGTACTTACAGTACTCGAAGTTTGGATTGGTTTCTGAAAAATCCATTCGGTATCATTTCCACGTTGTTGTGTTGCAAGTACCTAGATAAGATGTAAACAGCAATAAGTAGTACTCAACACTTGTGTCGCTTGCAAAGTCTAGGTGTTAGCAACAACAACTATAGCGACGAAGCTGACACAATGGACTACTTCTACGATGGTGGCGGCCATCTTGGATCGAAATGAATTATGGGGCGTCCAGGGGGCAAATAAAGCTAGTAATGACGTCGATTGATATTTCAGGTCACCACAAGAGGATACAACAAAAGATGAATTGAAGACGGCACATCGTTCACCTTTGCCCATAAAAGAAAGACAAACACACGAAACTAGATATTTTTTCCGTCATCTTTGTTTTGTTTTGCCCCCTGACAAGATGGCCGCCTTATCATCGAAGTAGTCTTTTTTTTTATAACTATTCGGAGTATTCGGGACTGAATATTCAAAACGAACTATAGTCTCCCCTTAATTGATCCTGGAAGAGGTCACACGATGAATGATTCTCATACTCACAGGTATATGAGGTTGCTGTTTTCAACCAGGAGATCTGGATCCAATCGATTGAAAATATTGTGCTGTAGATTACTATGAGGGGGAAAAAACTTCAAATTAATGATACAAAAAAAAAACATATGAAATCATGGGGATTCATGGGAGTGCGGGGGATTTTTTTGCGTCTTTTAAAAACTAAAAACTGCAATAAAAGCTATCGTTATCTCAACTGCTGGTTTGTTTTTTCCAAAACGCACCCCCTTCTCTGAAACCAGTTTAGTACGTATGTTTCGCTCTCATACGAAAACTATTCTTATGGTTTCAGCGTACGGCATATGATACCGTGTTCGTGCTGTAAGTCGTTACCGTACGTTTCTCACTCATATGAAAGCTATTCTTATGGGAGGCCGTTACAGTGTTATGGCATACAATACCGTGTGAGTGCTGTAAGTCAGCCATGAAAATAAAAACGATCAAAAACTATAAATATCCATAATTTATATTTTCGAAATTAAAAAAATCAATTGTACCTAAAGACAGTGTATGTCATAGCTTTTGGCGCTTTTATTTCTTCAAGAGGTTTAAAGATACTCGCCAAATACTGGATTACGTTTGGAGTACTTTCAGGTTCAGTACAGATCCTACAACTGTCTACTTGTATTTGCAAAATTAGGCGAACATGTGTTCCTCAAACGCCAATGCAACATCTTAGTATTGATCAGTATTAGAGATGAAGCATCCGATTACAAAAAGATTCACATAAACCGGTTAGAGCCAAAGAAAACAATAATATGCGTGCACTTGGGATACTAGTAACTCCTCTGCCTTTTATCATAACTCATAGATAAATAAATGGATAAACAGACGGATGGCTGAAGGTTCGTTAACTTACAGAATTTCGAGGTTATGAAGATCACGCAAGGCTTTTGGATGAATATAGTACAGACGGTTCCATCCAAGGTCTCTGAAACACAAAATACAAATCAATAAATGATTATACACTGAAATCACACAGGCATCCCAAATGGCAATAGTTTTTTTTTTTTTTTACATTCGATGCATACCACTGTCTTTGAAGGCCACAGAATTTCAAAACATTGGTATTATTTAACAAGCGCATTCTTTACATCATGGTTGACTTTTGCAAATGATTTGTTTTTGAACAAGACTAAACCTGTTTGGTATAAACCTACTTGATGGTACTGAGGTATATCATAAATGCTATGCCCTGATTGGCTGAGCTGCTAGTGACGAAAAGTGTGTATTTTGAAAACCAAAACAACGCGAAAAATAAATTATGACAACCTTAAAATTGCTTGTAACCATTTATTTGATCGATTAAACTAAAACAATTAGACCTCTCCAAGTCAAGAAGGGCTATTGACTTTTAGGGGAGAGGTCGAATTGTTAAACAGAAGTATGAGCATGTATTCAAAGAGCAACCGAATGAGCGAAAGGTTCTTTACATAAACCTGATATGGACCTCTCTAGCTTAGACTCATTCTAGACAACATTGGAAATGGAAAACCATCACGTGACGCCCAAGGTTTAAATGCCGATATTTTGATTTCAAGTTGTTCGCTGTCAAACGTATCGCGGGCGGGTATGGGAGTGAGGCAATTTCGGGGAAAAAACACTTTTTTGTTCCCCTTTTTTTTCATTTATGGAATCAAACTATTAAAAAGATAGTTATTCGTTTAAAAATCATACTCACAGTAATTTTAGTTCGTTCAATCCCTCCAATGCATTTGAAGGGATTTCTTCCAAAAAGTTGTGTGACAGTTTACTGTAACAGAACAAAATTACGATGCAAGGGGACATCTTTATTGAGGAGGAACAATGTTACTGAAAGTGATTTACAGGAGGGTCCATCCCACAATCCCACCAGCCCCAACAGCCAAGCAACCCATAAACCCACAAACCAACCAGCCAACCAACAAACCAAACAACCAAAACAACAAATCAAAAACAACCAAATACCAGATTTATTACGTCTTTTAGCACGCTCTAAAGACGGAGATATACATGTAAGTGGGCATGAGAATCAGATAAAATATGGGTTTAGTTGTAGTGACTAGCTGCAATAATTATACTTACAGTGAATGTAGACCTTTATTTTCAAAGTTAAACGTCTCGTTGTCCATTTTTATTAATTTATTTCTTTTTAAATTTCTGCAGAAAATAAGTCCATCTGTTTATTGTTCTTCATAAAAACGAAGACACAGAGCATCCTACAAGATAAATGCTCCTAGTAATGGGCTCCTGATCTGGGAATATGTTGGCTATGAGACCCAGTACGGGAGATGGATGCTCTCAGTAATGGGCTCCTGGTCTGGGAATATTCTGGCTCACAGACCCAGTATGGGAGATGGATGCTCCTAGTAATGGGCTCCTGATCTGGGAACATGCTGGCTCACAGGCCTAGTATGGGAGATGGATGCTCCTAGTAATGGGCTCCTGATCTGGGAACATGCTGGCTCACAGACCCAGTATGGGAGATGGATGCTCCTAGTAATGGGCTCCTGATCTGGGTATATGCTGGCTCACAGACCCAGTATGGGAGATGGATGCACCTAGTAATGGGCTTCTGGTCTGGGAATATGCTGGCTCACAGACCCAGTATGGTGGAGGAGTAACATTCGTTAGTTTTGATCGTCCTTGGGTAGAATTTACTCAGGATACTTACTCATAATTTAGTAATGGTAGATTTACAAAATCCGACGGTTTCAGTTGAAATATTTTGTTTCCTGGAAAAAAACTAGAGAAAGGTAGAAAAAAGCTTATGTAAGACTTAGTTTGAAAATAGATTATAAGTAGAAAATAGTGGTATTGGTGTACTTACATGGCAGTGGTTTCCCATGGTAACGGACTGGGTATTGCGAACAGATCAGTCCCTTTAACCACCAAAGAATCCTTCTGTTTTATACAAGTGCACTCTGAAGGACAGTCTGTGGGTTTAAACATGGTGAGTACAAATATTACGATCTCGGAAATTTTTCTCCCAGGTTACTTCTAGAAGTGGCAAATCCAAGGGTCCACGAGGAAAAACTGCCGCGATCGGATTTACAAAGGGGGATTCCATGGAACCATCTCTGGATCATCCACCAATGTCTAAGGAGTGTCTTTAACGCGTACGGCTTTTTTTACATTTATATTTTGGCCATTGAAGTTTTCAATAACATATAGAAATACAAAATCCTTGTATTTTACAGTCGTGATATGTTATCCCCAATCAAATATTTTCTATATCAATGTAACTCACCTTGGATGCACTCATCGCTTCTACTTTCTGAAATAAATAGATTGTTAAAAAATTATTGGATTAATCTAACTCTAGGAAATGACACGTGTATTTTATTGGGAAAACATTGAAACAAACCGAAATAGTTATTCATCCGATTTAAAATTTTATGCTTTTGTAGAAAGGACTTTATCCAATTACAAGACGTAGCTGTTCATGGAGTATCATATTCCTTGTCTATTTATTGATCAACTTCACTATCAAATAGATATAATTATCCTACCTCTAACGGAGTAGTAATAAATCTTGAAGCCATTGTGGTAAACATTTCTCTTACTAGCATTGAATGACAGCATCAAGGTATTAGTTGAAGACTCCAAGATCTCCGGGTATATCGAGCCACAGTACCTCCCGGTCAAAGATCCGCCATCGTAAACAGACAGAAAAGTGTCTTCACACCCTTCTGAGTCCTCTAAGTCAAAGGCTTTGAACTCCAGCCGTATTACTTGGTCTTGTTGGACATTTATGTTCCACGTGCACGTAATGGCTGGTGGGTAGGATGCAGGATAGTTTGGTGTAGTGATGAGTCCTTTTGAAGAGTAGAGATTTTCGTTGCAGACTGCAGATCAAATATAAATGAGATTTTTTTCTTTTTCACCTTATCTTTTTTTCTACCTCAATACGCCAGTTTCGCATTCGATGCATACCACTCTAGCTCTATTCCTTCAAAAGCAACGAACCAATCAGCGCGAAGTGAACATGCATAACTGTGGGGGGACAAATTAGCGCCTCACTGTTGGCCTGAGCGAGGTAGGATACTGTCTATGTTTTTCTATCCAAAGAAACTCAAATAATATGTGCCCGTGGAACAAGTCTTCAATAATTTGACATTGAATATGAGATAAAACGGAATTAAAAGATTTGATGGCCAAAACATTTTTTTTTTCTTTAAACTATAAGGCTTAAAAACAAGTCAAATCCGAAACCACTTCCCTGGATTTGATTTGGTTTTGGTTAAAAGACGTGATTGGTTTTAGTTAGCGCTTGCAGGACCGACGGACTGTAAATTATGGTTTAGTTATAAAGAGACTGGAATGATTTAGGACTCCAAATTCAAGCTCGTCGTTTGATTAGCGTTTAACGTTATATGAAGATGATATGCAAAACTGTTTTTCCCGTGAATATTATAAGGTCTACAAGCTTGTTAATCTGGTCCGTGGATATACCATCACATTTAGTACATCCACATGTGAAGTTTTCACCTTTTATTTTTCGCTCGTGAATTCTATAGTTTGATTACTAAACATTTACATACTAAACATTTACATACTAAACATTTACATACTAAACATTTACATACAAGAAAAAAAACTGGAACGAGTTGGTATTGCAATACTTTGTTGGGCGATTTCAAGAGACAAATTTCCAAGGTGGCGTCTATTTCGTCCCATAAAACAGACCCACAAAGCACATGCCAACCTTTAGTGCCCGCGGATATTTTCCAATTTCAAAATGCATGTCATTTCCTAGTGAATCATTTCGTAGTTTGACGGTTACGAATGCGAGGATATTGAAATGGGAACGAATGATCTTATTTTCAAGAGAATGACACGTGGACTAAAGGGGAATCCATTACGCCCAAATGTAAAGAGGAGAACGTTTTCAGATGGCCATGGGGGCAGGCACCGTAACTTTTACTGATCCGGCCTTCGCCTCTGCTCATGATCCCAACTCGATATATGAGCATAACATACCGTATTTTGCTTTCTCGGGTGAAGTTAAGCATTCCTTGTCTGACGCCACACGTAGTCCTCCGATGGCTATGTAACCATTACTATCAAGCTGTCCCTTAAATGTTATCTAATTCAGGAAAGACAGAAACAACCAATATATAAAGACTCGTTTATAATTACAATGAATGTACATAATTATTAATGTGATTATAATATCATTACAGCGGTTTTCGATATTCTGCGAACTCAAACATTCCAACGACTTGGTGTGAAATTGGTTGTTCACTGCCACCACCAGTCAAGAACATAAAAGGTACCGACTGATTATTTTTGATTAACGGTAGCGAAAAACCAAATTTTAGCGTGAAGCTTGCATGAGTTGCGTGAGTTCGCAGAATATGGGAAACCGCAGTATGTAATAACAAAGATGGTTATAAAAGGCGGCGATATTCAAAGACGTGTACTCATTTATTTCCCATTAACTCACTCTGTAAGGCAACATGGTGGTTATCAAGACTCTACCAAGCCGCCAAGCATCACCTGTTTCTTGATTACTTATCCATACTCTTCTGTCTGTAATGTTTGGGCATTTGAGTGTCTGTACAACGGACAGAGAAATCGGTTCCTTTCCTTTGATTTTGTATTTAAACATAAAGCACTCTTTGTTGGAATCATATGATTGGTTGAACCAGGGACTCTGGAATTTCCCAACCGAACGAGATCCAGTGTTATCTTTAACTCTTAAAATGAGAGATGAACCTGTGAGAAATCAAAGAAACGCGCAACCGATCACAACCATTAACGAATACCTTACTAGTTTACTTATCTTAATGCTTTTTGGCTGATCAAAGTTAGGGCACAGCTAACTCACAGATAGAACCCTGAAACAACTTCTGGACTGATCTAAGTCAGGGCACAGCTAACTCACAGATTGAAATAGGGCAATTTAGGTCAATCGATTGAATTGTAACTACTCCTCTGATTGACGTCAATGTATTGTCCGATTTTCCGCGACTGTTGTCTCGATAAGCACTTTGCCATAAAAACAGTGGTAATTAGAACGAATCAGAAACCTAAAAGTCCTACTTGACAGGATATCCCGCTAGGATTGCTAGAGGCGAGTGTGACACTGATCCGAGTGCCCTACGCCTTCCAAAAATCAAACCCTACTTACTGCTTATTCCAAGACACGTTGATGGATGAATCAAATGAGTGAAATTCCTTCCTGTAAAATAAACCACTTGATTCCATGATAATAACGTGTCCCATCTGTACAGGTTGCACCCGTATGACATGTGGACGATTTCGTCTCCGGACAACACCTTACTCCACATGCTCAAGCTAGAGATTCTTGCGATTAATAGGTTTTTGTCCAAGCCTTTAGTACCACTACTGGCAAGCATTATGGTATTACCTGTTACAAAGAGATTCATATAAATGCAAAACTTCAAATGAATGTTTTACCTCTGTTAAGGGGACACTGTCAGGAACTTGTCTGGTGTCCACTGAATAGAGGTTAGCTTTACAGTAAATACAGACCTGTATTAAGTAGACACTTTCAGTACCTTGCCTGGTGTCCACTAAATAGAGGTTGTTTTACAGTAAATACAGACCTGTATTAAGTGGACACTTTCAGGACCTTGCCTGGTGTACACTAAATAGAGGTTGTTTTACAGTAAATACAGTGGTACCAGTATTAAGTGGACACTTTCAGGACCTTGCCTGATGTCCACTGAATAGAGGTTGTTTTACAGTAAATACAGTGGTACCAGTATTAAGTGGACACTTTCAGGACCTTGCCTGGTGTCCGCTGAATAGAGATTTGTTTGACAGTAAATACAGTGGTACCTGTATTAAGTGGACACCTTGGGACCTTGCCTGGTGTCCACTGAATAGAGGTTTGTTTTACAGTAAATACAGTGGTAAATGTATTAAGGGAACACTTTCAGGACTTTGCCTGGTGTCCACTGAATAAATAGGTTTGTTTTACAGTGCATACAGTGGTACCTGTATTAAGGGGACACCTTGGGAACTTGTCTAGTGTTCACTGAATAGAAGTTTGTTTTACAGTAAATACAGGGGTAGCTTTACTGTAAAAGGGTACAGTGGAGAAATATTATAGATGAATGAATGGAGAGATGGATGGATGGATGGATAAATAAAGGGATGGATGGATGGATAGCAGGAACGAAAGGATGGATAAAGGGCTAGATGAATAAATGGATAGAGGGACGGAGGCCGGGAGGGAAGGTGGATTTACGGGAAACGGTTCTACTCAACCAAGATCTACATTTCTAAAATACCTTGAATATAGATAGTATCACCAAGATACATTCCTTTGCCAAGCAGGTAGCCATCTTGAAAGACATACCACAATCCCCAGTTTGATTCCCACGTTACGCAAACATGATGCCACATCCCGTTAAACACCTGTGCGTCAACAGATCTAGGAGGAAAATGTGTGCCTTAAGCTATCCCTAGATAATACTGCATTATCTAGCATGACAATGTAGTGCCTAACAATTAAACCTGAGTCTTACTGACCCTTAAGTCGAAATATGAAGTAGGCTATTGAAGCCATCATATGGGCGAGAAGTCTTATTGTCATATATTTTTTAAAAAACTGACCAACAATCACAGCCATTTTCGTAAAGATATTATGCTAAATCCTGGGACAACTTTGATAATGATCAGGAGAGGACGCGGCTGAGACAAAGCTTTTTGTTATTGTATTTAAAGGTATTTGTATTCGCCGAATGAAATCCGAAATTTTAGGGACATGAATCCGAACCTTTTCCGAAAACTGCGGATCAGTGGACCATGCTTCGTTTCTTTTGTTTTCCCTGATGCAACCGTATAACAGACATATCACTAATACTTTTAAAAAAAGTATCTCATTTCCGCTAAAGATCCTGTTTAATACATTTGATTTTTATTTACTCACCTGGTTTCGTTTCCTATCTTAATAACAACGTTATTGTTTGACAGCGACAGAACAAATGTGGTAAGCGAGGTGTAGAGGAGAGAGAGAGAAAACGTTCCGTTGGAAGCAGAGATGTAAAAGCAAATGGATAGCACATTGCGTCGATCGTTGATAAACGGAATATCAATGTTCGTGTCATGCACCATGTGTATCTCTTGCATATCTGTGAATATATGAACAACATGGATCAATTTAAGCTTATTCTTTGATTTCGATATAATCAGGATGCAATGTGGTCCAGCTTGCATGGGTACAAATAAAACAATAAAAGACATAGCGAACAAGATATGCTGTTACACTAGAAGGCAAGACCACGTCCTAAGATCCCAAACCTTGTATTTAACACCTTATTTTCAGCACCAAAAAGGCGAATCCCGCTTCCATTTTACATCTTCAGGACCCTCTTAGTTATTCGGAGTAATTGCCATACCTTTACATTATATCGTTATTTATATATCGTAATAATCCCCTTCACAGTTCCATGCGCCATCTTGAAAGGTAGCCGTGCCTTTGAATCGAAGCGAGACGAACGGTGAGCTTGCAATAATAGAGACCTTTTTTTAACACCTTAACATCATTGCAAGCTCACCGTTCGTCTCGCTTCGATGCAAAGGCACTGTTGAGTTATTGTCAAAATTATTGGTAATAAATTAAGATTATTCATCCATACATACATATATCTTATATGCTATTTTCTTATAGTAGATTGAAATACCTGGTGATGTTTGGATAGAATCATATACGAAAGAGTCGTTGTAGTAGACAGTCTCCCATTGCCTGTTATCTTCTGTGTTTGTCCAGGAATCCCATTCTTGCGATTTGTCGTAAACAGGAACAACTTGTTTGAAAAAGAAAACAAACAGGTAAATTTAAGATAAATACCCTCCTTCCCATCCCCAGTTGCTGGTGTCTCTATTGTAGTACCATATCTTACCTCATTTCATCGCTACCCTGAAAAAACCTCTGGGCTGATCTACGTCAGGGCATTACAAGTTCATAGATCGAAATAAAATTTAGCTTGTAAGGTTTTGCTGAGAGAGGAAACCGGAAAACTCGAAAAAAAGTCGAAGCACAGGACAGACCGAACCCGATACACCAGAGGTGAAAGGCAAACTCGTACACTACCGTTTTAATCCCTTTCAAATAAGGTAATTCCATACCTTCTTTATACGTGGAACAGACTTGAGACCATTCATCATAAGTATCTACGGATAATTGCTGGTAAATATAGAAATTCCCACAGTGACGTACAATCAATAAACCTGTCGTCTGACAACATTGCCAATCCGTTTTGCAATAAAATAAATTCTCAATCTGATACTTGTGGGTTGGATTAGACGATTTGGCGTGTATAGGCGTTCTACTTCCACAGTGGTTTTCGTGGATGCAGGATGTAGGTATCTGGTTACCAGCCGCACCACTGATCCTATACCAAGTGTACCAGTGTAAGCTTTTGTCGCTACTTGTCTTGATAATGGTGTTACTGACACGTCGTTCGATAGAGTCCAGAACCTGGTAGCTATGGCATTCCGCGATGGCTACAAAAACGATTAATTGTCAAGGTAAGAAACTAGGTAGCCTGCGAAGCGGCCCTCCGATATGCGGGGATTGGAGAGAGGAGGGTAGCCGGGGGATGCAGGAGAGCCACTTTACACACCCACAATTAAGTGTTTTATAGAGCAGTTTTCCTATGACTGCGAAAAGCTCACGACAAAAAAACCGTCGTGACATGTCAAGGCATACGCAAGGCCAATCACATTGCGAGAATTTACTCTATCCAATCAAATACCCGGAACACGGCATAAACACAGCGCGGATACATTGACGCCGGGGTCGCGGCACTGCCCACAATCACATTGCGCGGGGGGGAGGGGAGGGGGGAAATCAGCCCATTAAAAATTATAGAAGTAGTCATCACGACATCAAGGTCATGGCACGGCACGCTTACGGCGCTGAGCTTATCACAGATATTGAAAATTGCTTCATGGTTGCACATGACTTAAGGTACGGCGGCCCCATTCTGTGCCATGATGTGCACATTGATTGATAACATTATCCAATAGGCCTTTAAGTGCATAAAATATCGTGTTCTGTTATTATCACCTTATTAACTCAGGGTAAAAAAAATGCACACTTTAACTGAATACAAAACACTTTGAAATTACTCGGACCTTAACTGGAACACTTGATTTTTCTACACAAAATGGGGACTAACCAGAGCAATAGAGAGTCGAAATTGGTCAATAGAGAGTTGAAGTATTAAGGGAGAGAGGTTTGATTGTTTTAGTATAAAYCTAGAAATTGGTCCACAAATGGATTTGGAATTAATTAGAAATAGTATAGTCTCCGGTTCCTCTTTTCCTGCTAGTGGTCTATCACTAAGAGACCACTAGTAGCACAGCCAATCGGAGCGTAGGATTCGTGATATACCATTAGTAGGTTTATACTAATATGTCTTATAGGTTCAATGAGCACGTACGTTTGATTTCTTGACATTCTTCCTTCAGAAAAAGCACTTTTGATATTGCGATAACAGGCTGGCTTTGCATCTTTTTCCCTCTGAAGACAACCTTCGTAAAAAGCAATATTTAAAAATTTGTCGCGAAGGCGAAGTGAATATCGGGAAATATTTACTGAGACGCGCGAGTCTTCGAGCGGCAAGGTAATTATTCCCCCATATTCACTGAGACTGAAGCACCATCACGTGATGGCAGCCACGACAGGAGTCGCAATAATAATTACAATAATTTTTTTTCCTCACTTGGGAAACTAAATTATTTCTCATGCAAATCAGATTCGATCAAATTCAGTTGTTCCTGCCACCTGTCATGGCTGCCATCACGTGATTGCAAAGCCACTCATCAACATCGCACTTCCTCGGAATTACTTTTTCAAGGTTTTCGAAACCCAAACATGTGGATGACTAGTACACTGGATTGTAAGTAATTGAGAGAACGACGGGCCACTTACTCAAGGCGCTGTTACACAATGAAACAAATTTTTTGAGTGGTTTTACATGACGCAGTTCCTTAAAAAGAATTGATTGTCCAGCGCCAAACGTTTCAGCCGCGCGGTAGAAACGTTGTTTTACTTTTTTCCTGTATCCTGCAGTGTCATCAAGAATGTCTCACAGACTAATATGATAAATGTGGTTAATGAAATTTAGGCAAAGTTAGACTCGATCTGAGTAGCAGCAAGTAGTCTACGATAGCTGCTGTTTCCATTTGTTGTCTGCCCGCTGGCCACCTATATACGTTAATCACAATCGCACACTATTCTGGTGATCACGCAGGTCATCAGCAGTGCTAAGCTTTTTGATCGGTAATTACCGAGATATCGATCAACGCTATTTATTGCTAATGGTCATCAGTAGATTTGCTTCTTTCTGAACTTTACTACAAAAAAAAACCCGGTAAAATATGAAACCTTTGTGCATCCTGTGTCCAAGACAAGACTTGGGTAATCGTTTCTCCGTGTAACAGCGCCTTTGTCAGACTAGACAATTTTATATTCCATAGAACGTTTTACTGTTTACGTTGGCCATCTGGAATTATGGGATGTCAAGGAGAAAACATAGAAAATTCATTTAGCTTAGAGTGGCGGGCTACGTTTTCAAATAATTTGGAGTCTTGGTGTTTCGGCCAACTACAGTACTAGTAGATTCAATTTCTTTTTAGATGTGCTTCTCACTGAAGTTCATTGAAAATCGTCAAGTTATGTTTAAAACGGCACCCTGGCAGCTCTACAGAGCATACATTTTCCAATAGCTGGCACCTCGGCATCCCATAATGTCTTAATTAAAACACTAAAATTCAAGATGGCCGCCGTATCGGTGAACAGGTCTGTTCTTTACCCTAACATTTGAATCCATGTCAGGGAGAGGTACTTGTACGTAAGTAATGCTTTGTACGGACGCATTGTAACTCCATAAGATAAACAGCTCGTATCCGTCTTCCTTAACAACTGCCAATTTGAATGAGCGTTGAAATAACTGTAAGGTACTAGTAAACCAAAAGGTGACACATTTCCAGCCGTCTTGTCGAGGATTGAATAAAGGACTGGTAACATTTTTCTCTAATTGGCTTCCAACAACGAGATGAAGAAGAGAGCCCAGAGAGGAATCTGAGTAAGGAAATACACTATTTTAGACACTTTTAGAGAGATTTTGTGTGACCTTCTGTAGTAACAGTAGAAGTATTCAGTATCACTTGCAGAATAATTCGTGAATGTCAGGAAAAGCTTCTCAGTTGTGCCCTTTGTTCTCGCAACCTACAGCCCTGTTTACATGGGAGGAGGATGATCCTACAGATAGGATCTTCCTTGCAGGCGAATCAACCATGCGTTCAGTTTACATGAGAAAAACACTTGCGCTACTGATTGCGTTTACCCAGAGTCGCATGAAGTGAGTGGTTACAAAGCTTTTCTTATCTCTAGTAGGCGAGTTGTGTCTACTTTTTAGGTTTACATGGGAAAAGAGGTGTGAGCTTTATCCCTGGTGCTAGGATCTTCCTATCTGCGAGACAGGAAGATTCTACTGCTAGGAAGATCCCAATACCCGAAAGAACCCTGCGAGTGTGCATGTAAGCAAAAAGCAATGAATATATAGCCGGTAGGTTGATTCGCCTGCAAGGAAGATCCTACCTGTAGGATCATTCTCCTCCCATGTAAACAGGGCCTACATTGACATCGAACCTAGATTGAATTTAACCTATATTGACTTTCCAACCAGGATTGACAACCAGCTGGCAAGCAAGAAAAAGGAAAAAGCTCTAAGTAGTTACCCACCGTTCTTTATTTTCCAGCCTTGGTCTTCTTTCCAACCACACATATCAACATCAAAGGCACAGTTAAGGTTTTCTAATGGAAAAAGAAATTCAATGAACCCTTTTCAAAAGTATCGTGCATGCGAGTCTAACATGGAAATACAAAAGAAATAACAATGAAATATATTTCTCAATGGAAATGATTTTTGGCATTTTATTCGTATTATCATGTTAGCCTCGCATTCTAGCCTCGAGGACTGTTGCGTGCACACAGAAAAACTACTCTGAATCTAGGAGGCAAAACAAACGTCTTTATTAGACAACCGCCACTACGAGCACATGTCTGCTTCAAGTCGCCAGGGAGTTGGGGGTAGGGCAACACACAGACAATCCACATATATACAACAGAGACAATTTAACCATACAGTTAACTTTTCCCCCTCTTGAAACATTTTTTTTCTTCTGGTCACATGATTAATTAGCCAATTCGTTATATGTTTTACCTTTGTCGGGTGTTATAGACTTGCATTCCACCTCCAAGAAACTCAAATCATCAATAGCAATGAAGTCATTCTTGTGTTGATTTCCTCCTTCCAACACAATCTAAAAACAGAATCTATATCTATCAACATCTGTCGTTGCTATACCTCCCCCTCCCTCTTAATTTTCCGTTGAATGAGACCTAGTCAAAAAAGGCCATGCTCTGACAAATTTGGGAGTCTAGAGGCTGTTTCAGGAGAATCGCTAAAACTGATTTTTGGGGACTGATTTACCTGTTAACCACTGAGATTAAGGGTTCCAAACCATCAGGGTGTGAATAAGTTATGCATTTCGTGTCCTTACCATGTATTCCGTGTTGTGCTTGACAGAAGTCTGTCCAAACAACCACTTGCCTCTGGTGCTGCCTTTGTAATTCCAAGAATTTATTATAGACAAAGTTTTAGAGGTGTAAACTTTCAAGGCTGAAGAACCATGGATAAAATACCAGAACTGAATGCAAAGAACACGGCCAGCTGGGATCGATTTGCTGACCAGGTGTTTGGGGCTTGAGGAAGATGTTGGTTGCAGGAGGTACACATAGGCGCCTAAGAAACACGTAAATGTCTAGGTGAAATGATGACATTCAAAAAGTGTTAATCTTCATGGCATTACAGGTTTAAAATATGGAAATCATTGGTTAAACTCCTCTCCTACTTATTTTCTTTTCACTCCCTATTCTACTCGCTTTCTACTCTCCGTGTGCCTACTTTCTTGTTATCTATACCCTTCCAAGACCTCAGTCGAATCCTAGCCCATTTCTACCTTCTATCTTGCCCCACCCCCTCTCCGTGCTCCTTCTTCCTCTATTTTCTCGGTTTTGTTCTTTCATGTTGTTTTTTCTTCCCATCTTGCTTTCTTCTTCTTCTCTATTACCCTTGCTACAGCATGAAAAGACGGTGGAACCGGGGCTTAACCCTAGCAACTTCGCATTTTAAATTGATTTAATTATATAGACATACAGTACATGTTCAGAGGAAAAACATGGGAAAAATTAATTAAAGTCAATGAGTTATGAAGGGTCTTTTTTCGACCGAAAGTGTCAGTGCACTATTACATGAAAACTATAGGGGGAGAGAGTTCAAGTGGAACAGAGAATATCTTCAGTGATAAGCCACCCGGTCATACTTTGCAAAACATGCAATTTGCCGTTGTCATGAATGATTTCTACGCATTTTAAGTTGTATAATAGAGTGCATACCGTATATCCGCGAAAAGATTTGTAAGAAATTACACAAAATTACCCATTTCGAGTTTGCCTTTGCTCAGTCTTAGCCTCGATTGAGTACAATTGTCTTCTTTTCTTTCATTAAGATCCATTGTATCGTAAGGAATGTACGCACTACAATATGAGTTGATTAAAATGCCACGGGTTTTGGTTGAATAGCTGAATATTATAACGCACAACCAAGACTCAGGCTGAGCAAAGAGAACTCGAAACTGGAGCATTAGTAAGTTCAGTAGACCTCATAGATATAAAAAACTTTGCACTTAGTTAACTTTTTCATGAATATATGGTATGCACTGTACCTTAGAAAGGCAATTGTAAACGAGACTAGGACATTCCCTTTTGGAGTTATTTCATAGACCCAATCCACCTAAGAAAGTATTATTACAAATTTACCATTTGAGGTAAGAGTTGAGTGATCTTTAGGGAGAATTGATTTGATTGGAGAATCCTTAGCACGTGTCCAGATCCATGAATGGCTTGAATTGTCTGCATTATGGAATTTGCACATGCCATTCTCAAATGCACAGAGACCTGGTGAGACAAAGCAAGCGAAGAGAAATCATTATTGAAATCTAAATCACAAAGAATAATCGAGTATTGACGACTCTTAAAACTCCAGTGTATACGGGTCCAGCCTCGAATCCAGGAGTTGCTTGTTTTGTTATTCTAATTTCTACTTTTGTTTACCGCGCTCAGAAGTGAAGCTAAGCCTGCATACACTGTAGTTTTATGAGTCGTCAATGATAGGGTAGATAATTAAGTAACTGCAATATCATAAGAGAGGTTTCATTTTCGTCCCACTTTCTCGGTCATGAATCCAAAATTATATCCCTAAGCCACAGTTTTTTGGTTGACTTTCAATTGCTGGCTTTCACTTCACTTTTTTTCATGCCTCTCTGCATCATCTTGCTGCGTTAGTGTATACCAGACCTAATAAGTGTTACTGATAGGCCAATTACAATACCTTTAAGACTGGAACATTCCCCATTAGATCTTGATGAGTTAAGCTTATTCATTTCACATTCAATAGGAGAAACATGACACTTTCCTTTGAAAAAAAAAAACAAACGAATAATGGCATACCGTTCAAACTCAAAAATTCTTCTTAGAGGAAAACAGTCGAAGCTCGCACATTAAAGAGGCACTAGCGTAGTAATGACACCCCGCTAAAGATGGACACCCTGTTAGGGGTTAGGTCAAACAATGATCCAAAACGGGGACCACATTCTATGAACTGCTTTGGTGATACGACCTTTACCCATGAAAGAAAGACAAACACACAAAACTCTATATATTTTCCGTCATCTTTGTTTTGTTTTGCCCCATGGCAAGATAGCCGCCGTATCGATGAAGTAGTCAATTGGTTTAGGTGGTTTGACACCAGTAAATCCCCCGACCCCACCCCTTCTATTTATCTTTATCTCCCTAGCCCCATCCCCCCATTTTTCTTTCTCCCCCTCCCCTTGCTCTTTCTCTCTCATGAGAGGCCCGTCGAGATGTTTTATACTAAATATAATTTTTATACGCGAATACGTGCGTTGTTTAGCGTACATGCAAGTAAATAGCACTTAATTTGACTAATGAACTTGTATGACGATTCCCTAAAAGATGGGGCCCATAAGGTGGAATACGCAAATAACGCTATCATTATCTTCTCATTGTAAACATGGTATTGAATCTCTAGTTTACCTGAGTTCTTGCATCCCAAGCATTGACATGCCCCTGACCATGTATTGCAGCTTCCATCAAAGCACGTTACTTCTTTGCATACTTTATCTGTCGGAGGTGTTATGTAATACTGAGTTAGTTAGCAGGATGATTGGCGAGTGAAAAAGATTAAGCTGCTCCTAGACCGAAACAAACTCAGACTAAAAAGATGACGCGACTACATTATTAAAATGGCCTAATTTCGCGCTCGATGTCATTCATGAATAGAATGACAATGATAAAAAAGATACTTTATGAAGCGTCTGTCTAGATCTGCTGTAGGCGCTTCAAAAGTCGAATATAACGACAAGAAATATAAAAAATAAATTACATAAGTTACATAAAGTAGTAATGATGGATGGATTTATTAACGCGGGAAGACTTGTGTAATTGTCATTTGGTAATACCGCTGTGTTTCATAACTGAAGACTCATCTGCACGGGCTTAGCCTCGTTTAAGAGCAAATCATTCGCAAAAGTCAACTGTACTGTAACGAATGTGCAGTTTGAACAATACCAATGTCTTGAAATCCCACGGACTTTAATGGTATCTGTAAATAACTGACACAACGAGACTAAGCCTGTGCATATGAGCCTGTGGTCTTCAAAAACAGAGGTATGCATGTATCCATGCACTTACGTACCTCTGTTATGGCAGTATTTTTCATCTGCACCATCCCAGCAATCCTGTCGGCCATCACAAACCTTGTCTACCGTGACACATTCATCAGTACACCGAAACTGATTGGACAAACAATTACAGTCTACTTCGTCAGATCCGTCACGACATCCATCATAAACGCCGTTACAGCGTGACGCTTGCGAAACACATTCACCATTTGAACATTTGAATTGTGCTTTACTGCATTTGAAATCTGAAAAAAAAATTAAAAACTATTTGTGAAAAGGAAGAACTTTATAGTGTTTAACCTGATCTATCCTCGAGCATGCGCAGCATATATATGTCTCATTAGCTGTACAACCAATATACTCACCACGACTAGCGTAATGAGGTGTTAGATCACAAATCTGTGTCGAGATTTGAACATTACGAATTGCAATGAACGAGCTGTTGTTAGACTTGAAACCAGTGAAAATAACCTGTAAATAGACCGTTCATTAAAAATACTAAGTGCTACTGATAAATCTTATATGTATTTTCTTATCAAAAAGTAAGATAACACAGAATCACCATTTCTTTTCAATTTTGTTTGGAGGGAATAAAACTTTAATGACATATGCTGTTGGCCGTGTACCCTGAGTCTGATCAGCCCGGAGGTAATTGTTTCACAGTAAATTTAAAATCTGAAAAAGCAATTTGTTGAACCTGACCCTCAAAAATTATCCGCTGCAGACTAGAATGTATACGTGATTCAATTATTGGATCGTTTTACGAAAGCGCACAAGAACTCTACTAACCTTGCTATTGTTTAGTTCGACCAATGGCACTTCGGCTTGATTCCAGTTGTTTCCATGGAAACCGTTGAGGTACCAAATTGCTGTAGAAGTCCTCTCATTTGGATTAGTGATTTTGATAAAGCTGGTGTCATTTGTAGGTAATTTATAAGCAAACTTTAAGCAGAACTTGATAGAAGTATAATTGTGTTGCAATAACGGCGATTGTAGTATGGAAGTCCCTGGTGATTTCATTTGAATTCCAAAATCTACAAAAATGATGCCAAAGCTTTTAAACCAGATTTTTTTTCAACCATCCGTCCGTTTATCCACCCATCCACCCATCCACCCATCCACCCATCCACCCATCCACCCATCCACCCATCCACCCATCCACCCATCCACCCATCCACCCATCCACCCATCCACCCATCCACCCATCCACCCATCCACCCATCCACCCATCCACCCATCCACCCATCCACCCATCCACCCATCCACCCATCCACCCATCCACCCATCCACCCATCCACCCATCCACCCATCCACCCATCCACCCATCCACCCATCCACCCATCCACCCATCCACCCATCCACCCATCCACCCATCCACCCATCCACCCATCCACCCATCCACCCATCCACCCATCCACCCATCCACCCATCCACCCATCCACCCATCCACCCATCCACCCATCCACCCATCCACCCATCCACCCATCCACCCATCCACCCATCCACCCATCCACCCATCCACCCATCCACCCATCCACCCATCCACCCATCCACCCATCCACCCATCCACCCATCCACCCATCCACCCATCCACCCATCCACCCATCCACCCATCCACCCATCCACCCATCCACCCATCCACCAATTAATAATAAATACCTTTTTGAGGTGTCCATAAGCCCATTGATTGATTACCATCCACTTTCCACCCGGGACACAGGCCATTCAAAAAGCTACAGTTTGCAAGAATATTCTCTAAAGAAGACATGATGTACAAATACTTCAAAACCGGTTGGTGAAGGTTCATTGCATGTTGCATTCCTCTTTCCAGACACAAGAATCACACAGTACTTATTTAAAGAGAACACTTTCTAAAATTAACTCATTGTTCACTCAAGTGTCCCCTACACTTTCCCTGCGCCATCTTGAAAGGTAACCGTGCCTGCGCATCACAGGGACAACGGTTGTAACCTTGAAATGATAGATACCTTTTATAGCACCTTAAACAATTATTCACAAGTCTATATCATTGTAAGTGCACCGTTCAAGATGGCTTAGGGAACTGTGAAGTGTTGATTATATTTTTCACCACACCTGTCACTACTAAAGTTCCCACTTTTCGTCGATGACTCCACTTGGTTGTATCTCCCACAAAAGAGTACTCGATCTGTTGGCAAATGTGAAATTACTCAAGATAATAATCGTACACTTTGCAGACCCGGCTAGGGCTTTCACCGGGGTAAGCCGGTAGCAAGGCATCCACAACCCCAGTATTCGATATCTCTTTAGTCAACCCATTTTCACTTAAGGACGATTTTGAATCCGATTTCTTCTCCTGAGTGATTGATTCGTATTGCGTTTTTTTTTTTTTTTTTTTTTTTTTTTTTTTTTTTTTTTTTTTTTTTTTTCCCCGTCGATTATTAATAATTCGTTAATATTGATTAAAAGATGATAATATTGATATTAACAAAAATGCAAGTTTTGTTTTAGGTTGTTGGGAATTTAAAAGTGTGGAAAATCAGAGAAGCCTGAAAAAACCCTTGACTCAAGAGTGAAACCAGACGTTCATAACGAGAAACCTAACATACTCTACTCGCATGTGATGCCAAGTCAGGAATCGAATCCGAGACCCCAGAGGTGGGAGACGAGTGGACTAACACTACCTCACCCTTGATCCGCCCATAAGAAGTTATTAGTAGCGATATTTAGCTTGCTCCTGGTCATTGCTTACCGCTAATTCGTAGCTGTCTGGTTGGATATCAAAGTAAAGATCTCCAGAAAATCGATGTGTTAAACAGTCCATGGGAAGTGACTGTACAAGTTCTGTACCTTGTGATAACCCAACCCTGATAATGAGCTTCATGGGACAGGTAGGACAAAACAGACCTTGACAGCAGAAACTGTAGCTAGCTGAAAGAAGAAAAAAAAGAATTCTGCCGCTATATTCTTAGTTCACGCAAATACGCCTTTCTCAAGATACAGTTAAATGCCCATGTTCTATCCCATACCTCGGTTTGAATACATAGTATCTTATACTGTGTATGGTAGATATCTTACACTTACCATGACGTTTATTCTATTGGACGATTTGACAATTAAACAAGGTAGAATTGCTAACGATACAATATATTTTACGTCGGATTTAATAGTCCAATAAGGATAAAAACTACTGTTAAGTTAATTTGAGTTCCTTGAGAATCCAACTGTATCAAGGGAAAGGTCTCTTCTCTCACATTATTTATCCTCTCATGAATGTTCATGGGATGGATCCTCAGTAGATATCAGGAAAAAACCCGGACGACAAAAACAGCATATAATAATATAATGATAGTCATAGAGCAAGAACATACCTAGCTCTTCTCACTGGCTAACTGGCTAACTCCAACAAGCTCCTTCCTCCCCACAAAAGAAATAAACTGTGTTGAGGGGGGGGGGGGGGTAGGGGTTCACAGGCACCAAACCTACGACCAGCTTGTGATACCCTTGATTTAGCCCTATGTACTGCAGTATGAAAGAAAAACAATTCATGTCCATACCTTGGAGAGTAAAAGACGACCTAAAACGAGCATATATAATTCCATTTATTGTGCTGGATAGCTTGAAATGGAGACTCCGCTTTCCTGAAGGAGATATTATGTGAAAGTATAGTATGACTGAACAAATAGGGCGCCCTCATTCCAGGCTCTTTTGTAGCTTGTCTCTAAAGTTTAATTCCTTGAAGCGAGGATGAGCTAGCCAGACCCTCCAATCAAGCCAATCAAATCGTAAAATAAAAACAATACGACATTCCAACTTTGAGTAGTGGAGGCATTCAGTGCTAGAAAGGCATAAAACAATAGCCTTTCAACATATCTTATTATTACCACGAGAAAATGTCGATGGCTATCTAGTTGTTTACACGTAACATTAGGATCAACCCAAAGTTGACATGCATTGTTTTCATTCTACAGTTTAATTGGATCTCTTGTCTAACTGTACTAAACGGCCCCAGTAGTTGTACATTAGTACAGTTTCGAGTTTCTCACACACTCCCCTCCCACTCTCTTATTCAATAATCGTTTTGTATTACCTGGCAAGGTCCAAAATAGCAAGTGTTTCGGAAGGTTTTCATGCACGTTGCTTCCTTCTGGTTGCAATTTCACATTCATATGCTGGTATTCTCTGTTTGCCTCGAGGTAGCCTTCCAAGTAGTACATATGACAGTGGCTCAGGGAAAGTGTTTTAGACCTCTGGTTATCATGTCTGGAAACAGAAATATAAGCGTGACATTCAAGACAAACCTCTCATAAGTTTATGATTATATTCTCCAGACTTTAGTGCTCAGTTACTCAGGTTTCGTGGTTCAATTTTTATAGGTAAGAATATTCATGTGTTCCAGTACAGGTTGGTGGAGTTTAAAAGTGTTTGGTATTGTTGAAGTGGTGCATTCACTAAAGTGAGGGTACAATGAGTCAGGATTTTAGGAGTAAATCGAAAAAGGTCTAGTTTTCTTTGGCGATTGCTGCTCCTCTGTCTTTTCTTCTCGTATTTTGTTTGTTTCCCTGTAAACCTTATACGATGGTTTTAAACAATTCAATGTCATAGTTTCATGTTGCTTTGGACCGAAAATCATTGTGCCAAAGGAAAAGTGATCTGTTGGCACTGGGTCGTCTGGGTCGCAGAAATACGAAAAGCGCAAAGACATACTTGTTATACACGTTTGGATTGGTTTTAAACCACGTCTTAATGACGTAATCCAATGACGTAGCTTCCTTGTCCAGCCCTTCCTCGGCCTCTTGTCTAAGCCATAACTCACACTTATCATCACAACTGACCAGAATGTTAAACTTTTGACTTCCTGACGAAGGTATCTATTGAAAGAATAAATACAAAGAATTCAGTGCTTTTAGTTCAGGAAGACACAGCCCTATTTAATATTCCAAATTAAAAACTACTCTGCTCCTAAGAATTGTTTAATAGTCAAATTAGTCAGTCAGTCAGTCAGTCAGTCTAACAATCTGCCTGCCTGCCTGCCTGCCTGCCTGCCTGCTTGCATGCTAGTAGGTTATACTATCCTGCTCCCAAACTTACCGTGAAGAAGGCAGATACTCGTCTTCCTTGCTCAATTCCATTACTGATTTGTTTCATTTCAAAGTCCTTTGTTGTGTAAACAGCATAGGCCTCGTCAGCAAAACGTGAATTGTACTTCATGAGGTAACCCTGTCTTATATCGACATAGTTACGCCAGCTTTCATGCAAGCTACCTTGGGATTGTGTAGTATTTTCTAAAAAATAGAAAAATAATGTAGAACGTACAGATGATTTTGATTAATAGGATAAAGATTGTAATTGATAGTATTCGTTTAGACTTGGAAGCAGCCAGACGAGCAGGCAAACGGAGGCAAGCAAACAAGAAAATAATATGCAAGTAAACCAGCATGCAAGCTTCGACCAGTCAGCCAGCAAATAAATAAGCAACTGAACTGGAAGATAGAACTAACCAAACGCAAGCTACTTAACAACGAGGACAACTTTTAAGTATTGATTTTTTATTTCACATAAAAAACCAAAGAATCCATCTAACAAGAAAAGAACTTCACTTTTTTTTAAATGCATAACTTACCAAAAACAAAGACATCAACATTGCAAAGTCCAAACGTTGCATTCGTTGAGATTACTTTAATTCTCACTTCAATTGCAAGTGTTGGAGGACTGCATTTGAAGATTTGGCCTTGTTTGGTCTTAAACTTACTGGCACTTGTACATGAAATGCTTTTGTCTATTATTCGTATTGGTTGGACGATGACTTCGAACACAGACTTTTGATTGTGCACGATAACAAACACACTGTGGATATATACATCTTTGTCTAGCGTAACTGTGAGAAATGTTTCCTGCTTCTGAAGAAAAAGATAAAGGTTGAGGTCAATTTACTTGATTATTTCTAAACATCTGGACATGAGGAAAAACATGGACGACAAGACGACAAGACGACAAGACGACAAGACGACAAGACGACAAGACGACAAGACGACAAGACGACAAGACGACAAGACGACAAGACGACA